TTATAGTGTGTGTGTGTGTGTGTGTGTTTCTCAGCTCTTTGATCCATCTATGTTTTGCAACGGTTCCCAAAGTTTAGACTAAACAAGGGGCCACTTACTTCAGCTCTACCTATGGAAATTAGTTTGAGAGATAATTTCAAAGATTGTATTACTTGTTGGATCAAACTTAAGTAATTATCAAGGCCTCATTTCTTGGACTCAATACCTAAGTTGTTTTCTACAGTCTTTAGTTTTTTTTGTATAATTTCACTGGGCCGGCTTATTCATGTAGTTATTCACAAACTGGCATCTGTTAATAGCATTTTGAGTAAAGCTTTAAAACATTTTGGCAATAAGAAAGCAGAGAAGTAAATGACCTAATCTGTTTTCGTTTCTGAATGGCTGCAGAGGGAATAATAGCGAATGAAAGCAGTCGTACTCTGGATTTGTGCCTTGCCTTGTCATTATGACAATTACTGCAAAGCTCTGCTCTAGATCAGGATGCTTCGGCGGGCGAAAACAGAGAGGCTAAGTCAGCAAACTATCCTTACAACATGGGATACATGTGCTACTACACAAAGCAGCCATACTGGACATTTTCGGTTGACCTCAGTTAGTCTCTGCATTTCTGTTGTATTTGCACTGACCTGCATACAAAATAAAGGATGCATCTAGTGACGCACCGATGAAGCCTTTGGAGTGAGTTAATTTGGAAGTTCTTCTTTTTATTTTTCTCTCCTTTTTTTTGGTTTGGAAACAGACTCAAGACTAAATTAGAAGCAAATCCATCTAACCCACAATTTATTGTGGTTTGACATTATATGTAACTTCTTATTGGTGTATTTTGAAGAAGACAAAGAGGCTGTAAGACAGCCAGCCTTCACAAAGTGCTAAAAACAGAGCCATCTAAGAGGATGGATAGTAGAGGTGTAACGGTACACAAAAATCACGGTTCGGTACGTACCTCGGTTTTAAAGTCACGGTTCGGTACGTTTTCGATAAGAAATGCCAGAGAAATTTCCTATTTGTTTAAAGAAAAAATATTTTTAAATAAGTGTGAGTTTTCCTAGATCTTAAAACTTTCAGGTTTATAAATAGGGGTCATCTTTGAAGGATGAACAAATAATGTTTTGGTCATCACATTAAAAATAACATTTAAATATATATTTATTTATATAATATGTGAATTTTGAAGTGCTGGAAAAAGATGTGTGAAGTACTTGAAAGCATTTCACCATTCCAGCCAAACTGGTTACAGTTAGTGTTACTATATTAAATCCATGGTTCATTCACGGCACAATGTTTTTCCTGGTTTCCATGACAGCGCTGTTTGATCTAATAGAGATCTACGGTTAATAACGGAGAAATGTGAATGCATCTCACTAGATCTCGCAGCGATGTTATTACCTCAGTGGCGAATTCAAATGTTTCTTTACCGGATCTCTTAGCGCGGTGTGGTAACATTGTTGCTTGATCGCGATCGGCTCGCGCTGCACAGATGTTGCTGGTCCGAACTGATAAACGATCCGTGAAGCACATAACGAGGAGCGCAGTTTCGTTCTGCTTTCATTACCCTTGCCATTTGGATGTTGCGCAACGTTGTGTTGGCCGCGTCAGCACGAATTTTGCCGGCAAGAAAAACGGTCCAAGCAATCGTTCGGTTTGTATGCGTACCGAACCGGAAGCCTCAAACCGAAACGGTTCAATACGAATACATGTACCGTTACACCCCTAATGGATAGCAGCACATGGATTGACATTCACTCAAAAAGGCTTGGGTTGTGTGTACTTGGTTATCTATTGTTTAAACTTCACTTCCCAGAGAGCTGTAAGTGACCTTGTGTGACCTGCCTCTTATGAGATGTTCTTTTCAAGTGTAGATTTCAAGTGCAATTTGTGAGTGATTTCACTTTTATAAATCTTCTTTCAAAGAGATCGTATAAAAATATGAAAAACTGTTCCTTCCAATATTGGGATTTTATTAGGGACTGATGCCAGGCGGTTCGCATTTGGCGGTTTGGCCGTAAAATCTCCAGAATCAAAGCCCTGTGTGGAATCAGCTTTTGATTTATCTCTACCCATATACTGCAATATAATAAATACATAAATATATTTTATCATCTTTTTATTTTATCTTATCATTATTTTACCATGAAATTCCCATTGAGAGAGACCTGCCTGAGGTAGCAGCAAACAACAAGATTAAAATGTCATGTCATCATGATAAATACATCATGATTAAGGTTGGGAGTAGAGAGAAATTCAGAAGGTTTGGTTCCGAAAACGGCTCTGGAGTGATGAAGTGTACTATCCTTCATACTAGCGGCTTTTCACCGCATGAATATTAATTACGTAGCCTGTCACTTTGGTGTTCAACCAATTAATGCAGTTCGGCACTGAAAAGCCCTCATGCTAGCCCAAATGTCACCTTAAACGCTCGCGGTCTTCCTACGAGTCCGCAACGCCGCTTTAACTGTCGGGAAGAGTTCTGCTGTGGAGCTCGCACCGGTGTGTACTTGGCAAAAGTGTGCATGAAGTTCCTATATTGACAGCAAAAGGGGTGCTTGCGAGCACCCTTCTGAAACCTAAAATGACAAATTGGACACTCTACGACGTTCTTGATGGTCCATTAGGTTTCAGATGGTAAACCGGGTGTGGAAACCACTCAATGTGCCACACCCCCTCCTGGAGCTTAAGAGACTTTGACTCCGTTTACTTTAGCAAGTAATGGGAAAATGACCACAGAGTGTCACTGGTCAATGAAAGGTGTACATTGTTTTTCCACCGTTGAGTCTTGGTTTAGGTAGGTGTTTTGGTACATGCACAGCTGGATTACTATTTAAAAGTAACTAGGCTTCTTACATGGATCTTACATGTATGTTGTTCACTGTTCAGGCATTTTCTACCCCTTCTGAGAGGTATTCTCCACTGCTGGAGATACAAAAAGCCAGGAGAGGTCCCGAATTCTCCCAGAGAAAGCACTCCAGACATGTTGATTTTCCTTCAGAAAAATTGCTAAGTAATATATCTTGAATTTGTTGACATTACCAGTCTGTTAAATCCATTTGATAGTAAGTAATAAACATAACAAGGATAGTTTGAGTTGAGGATTGTAATAAGAAACATCCGGGTTTGAATCCACTGTGAGACACCAATGTGTCCCTGAGCAAGACACTTAACCCCTAGTTGCTCCTGAGGCGTGCAACCTCTGAAATGTATAGCAATTGTAAGATGCTTTGTATAAAAGCAGCAGCTAAATTAATGAATAAAATTATTTTTAAATTTCTGGACGTATCTTTATTTTGTGATTCTTCTGGCCACAATAATTGTGTAGGGAAAATCTGATATTATGACAGCCTTAATATGATGTATTGTTCACTTTTGCAATTTGCCATGTTTTTAGCAGCAAGAAAACGGCTTCCTTGTAAAAACCAGAACATCTTATTATTATTTTTTAACAGCAGGGCATCTCATTTGTGATCCAATTTTCAAAACTGTTGCCAGTTACACAACCCAACGATAACATTGAAATTCAGCATTTACTCCAATAAAATCAGTGTGAACGGGGCATATTTCACAGATTCTTCATCATTATGTTGGCTTGCCTCTCTCAACAGATATTCCAGAACGAAAAACCTCAGAATATGTGGGCTGTTCAGGGTATTTCATTTGATAATTACAGCTGTAACATATTGTTTGTTGAAATACCCTGCTCAGACATAACCAGCTGAGGTAGGGATGAGTTCCTCAGACACCCTGACCTCTTCCCTGTGTTTTCCACGAGAAGTCTCTGCTATCTCTGGCATCGCTGTGTAAATAACCTCTGTCAACAGAGGTACTGTGTGCGTATGCTGCCGATCACATTCTCATGACTCAAACTTTCACAGTCAGATTTAGGGAGTTTCTTAATGCATTGTCTAACTCCTTTACACTTTTTTAAAGACTCTGGAAATGGCTGGGAGATGTTTGTGTCTGGGTGTCCTGGTAATGATTAGGTAGCGGAGAATAGCACATTGCTATGACGTCATTTTGTTTGTCCCCAAAATTTGATGAACACCATACCGCTTTTCTTGAATACGGTCATTCCTGCTGTTAATGTGCTGCTCCACTGTCCCCATTAACATACCTAGTATATTTGAGTAAAACATTATTTATAGGCTGTGCTCTGCTGGCCCATGGCCCAGCCGTTTTGAAGTTTTTGCTAAAAAAAAAAAAAAAAGGTCAAACAATGGTGGCTGTAAAGTGCAAGGCCTAGATTTCCACACGGTTATTTGCTGGTCTTGGTGTGGAATGTGTTTATTCAGTCTTTAAAGGTCAGAAGTAAATATAGGACACTCTCTGAATATTGGAATAGTCAAGTTCATGTTGAACTTTAGATAGTGCTTTAACCCGTGTTTGGGTTAAAAATCTTAGTACGGTTGTTATGTGAAGCACAAAATTGACCCTAATTGGGTTTAATACAATTAAACAGAAATATTTTTTATAAACTAAATATTTATGCTTAATACCTAACATACTGAAACACTAACATAATGAATTGTGTTAAAAAAGGTTTTCATTTTGAGTTTGTGCAGCTGCCTGAAATTTAAGTTAACCTGCAAACATTATAGTCATAATTTAAAATCATTGATCCTAAATACAAACAAAAAGATGTTCTAGAGAAATTCAACTTGTGCGTTTCACAGAAATTACCAGGTCACATGGGGGTAAATGAATGCTCCATTTTAATCTGTGGGTGAGCTGTTCCTTTAAGGACAATCAGTACACTTGAAATTGTAAATGTACAATATCAGTTTCAGTATATTTGTCATAAAATGCATATACCATTTGTTGGTCAGATAAACTATTCATTTCTTCATTTGTTTTGCTTTATCAGCTTGTTGGCCTATTTGATGTCTTTGTGTTGTTCTGTACAAGTGCTTGTTAAGGACAGCTTATTATATCACAGATGTTTTTTATCAGATGCTTGATATGACAGCTATGAGTTTCACGCTGACTGAAGTGTGTTCCTTTCTATGCAGTTGAGGTGGTGGTGGAGTATGACTATGAAGCCCTCCATGAAGATGAGTTGACCCTCAGGCTTGGAGACGTGATCAGAAATGTGCGACGAATCGATGAGGATGGATGGATGGAAGGAGACCTCAATGGGAAACGAGGCCTTTTCCCGGACAACTTTGTAAAGGTAATTTTAAGAATGAATAGTATATTGGCTTTAAAGGATAATTCCGGTATTTAACACCTTTGTTTTGAATGAAATAGAGTGGTGGACTTAGAAATTTTGACAATGGGTCCTGTCTCGACTTTTTGACTTTTTTAGAATCGCCTGTGACGGCTTTAGACTGGCTGTCTATGGGCATGCACAAACATGTCCTTAAAACAACCCTTAACGTTCATTTTCAAAACTGTGCAACTCACTGAGTGGTTGGTGGTGTTCGTTGATTAATAAAAACATATATATCGGCGCAATGTATGCTTTTAATCTTTGTTGCTATTGTGGAACTATTTATTCAGATACCTCACAACCGCGTATAAACTTCCGCTCGATATTTGAGTCTGAAGCGTTAGCACACTCCCGACCACTTCATGGCGACAACCAGGACGCTGTACGGAACGCGGTGTCTAGCGCACCGTAAAAAAAAAAAGTCCGGTAGCACAGTTGCTCTGCTCTGCTAGCCTTCTGAGAGACGGAGAACCGAGGGAAAAGACTACAACCAAATATAAACAGACCCCTTTCCTTTTCCGGTAGCTAGCGCAGTAATATCAACGAGCACTGAGTCCTCCAGCAGACATCAATGCGATTTTAAAAAATGACAAATAAAACACGACAGAAACGGTATTTCGCTACGCTACTTGTTTCAGAACATCAACAAACACCACCAACCACTCGGTGAGTTGCACAGTTTTGAAAATGAACGTTAAGGGTTGTTTTATGTACATATTTGTGCATGCCCATAGACAGCCAGTCTAAAGCTGTCACAGGCGATTCTAAAAAAGTCGAGACAGGACCCATTGTCAAAATTTCTAAGTCCACCACTCTATTTCATTCAAAACAAACTACAAAATAGACTCAAGGTGTTAAATACCGGAATTATCCTTTAAGTGAGGTGATAAGGAAATAATGGAGGTTAAAAAGCTTTGTGATTAGCTTAATGCCAAAAATAAAAGTTTATTTTTAGGTATGGCATTCCAAGTTTTGAAATCTTAGCATGTCATTGCATTTACAATCTCATCTTCAATTTGTGCACCTCTTAGTCTTAAGTAGTGTTTTGAGTTGTTTCTGAGGCAGCTTGAGGAAACCCACATTAAAGTTGGATGTAATGGCAAATCTTGTTAAAGGCAGGAAATTATTGCTTTGGTTTCCTTGCGGAGATCCTTTAGGAGGGTGTGAGGTAATCTTTCACTCCCTGATCTGAACTTTGATCCCGGAAAGATTTGATAGTCAGCATTCAAGTGGTTTTAGGAGAGGACCATGGAAAGCGAGCAGGTAGGAGCTCATTTTAGTTTGTCTGTCAGATCGTATCTTGGGCTCGTTGTGTCTGGAAGACGTGTTCAAACTGGTAATGTTTTGTCTTAAGGTGGTTTTTAGTTTAGTCAGTTTCTCTTAACGTGGCACTTCATTTGATTGCTCGTTTTACTGAATCACCAGACAGATCATATATACTACAGGATTTAAAGGGCACATACAGGGAAAAAAAGTAGCCTAAACAAAATTAAATAAAGTTTTTACACAAACTACACTATTTTATTGTGTGTTCAAAGCAAATCTTTGTTTTTACTTTGTTTAAAAAGATTTTATTTCTATTTTTATTCAGCCAGAATTAGTTTCCAAAGTAAGTTAGGTCCTAACTTAGGACATCTGTCATTTAATGATCCAAAATAGGAGTTTTTTTTCTGCGTGAGGGTGTTACAGTAGATCATGTGCTCTAGAAGATGCATGCATCATAAACTCTATTGAAATAAACCGAGAAATCAGTGAAATAATCTCTGTAGTAGTACTTAGAATTTTATTTATTTGTTCAAATGTATTTAATTACAAGCACTAAAAAGGTTGGGAAAGCTGACCTCAAATTAGTTGAGGAGTGGGGAGTAAGGAAAAAGGAATTTGTTTGTCAGCATCTCAGAGAGGAAGTTTGGAGCGGATGCAGCCTGTGGCATGTTCAGGAGCCTACAGGAAAGCTCCACACGCCTGTCTCTCCAACCCAAACCGTGTCTGAGTCCATCTGAACCCAGCTTAACCCTTGTGCATTGTTCAAATTCACTACCCTTTCGTTATGTTCGTGGCTGAAAAAAGCCACTACTTTAAACTGCTGTAAAAATGTATCAGATAAATATTTTTTTCAAATTTTTTTGCATAAATTTATTAACCGACCTCAGTCCTGATCAAAACTACTAAATGTTTAAAAAAATTTCAGGATTTTAACTCTTTAATGGCCAAATTCATAAATGATGTCACTGATTTGGGGAAAAAAACACAGAAAATGACTTATTTTCAATATAAAATATGATTTTGATATGAATTTTTTTTCACCTTTTATCACAGTCTTGGACATGTCAAAGATTAGAAACAACATTGGTTTTGATGCATTGTTAGTTTTTGTGTAGCATCAGATTTTAACTTTTTCCCCCTTATTTACTGTTCGTGGCTGTTTTTGCCCCATTGACTTCCATTATAACCACATTTTTTGATTGCAAAGCCATGACACCACAAAATCATGCATTTTTGATTGTTGATGGTTTTCCCTGTTGGGAAGAGGTAAAATTTGTAATTTTTACTGTTGATAACCAGGTGGAACCATTTAACCCTTTAGACAGGCCTGTGCAAAAAAAAGCTTAGTTTCTGGCTTTTACATGGAGTTATATGGAGTATAATAGCATATTACAGTGTGTGTATATATGTGTGTGGGTGTGCGTGAGTGTGTGAGAGAGTGTGAGAACTCACCTTGATGCGTCTGAGAAAATAAAAATATACACATCAGCTCTCAAAACTACATAGAGTAAACTAAAACAAAGTAAGTGTATTTATGCATCTGCTGCCTTTTGATGGTGAGAAATGCAGACTAAACAAAAACAAAGCAAGTGGATATAAACGCTTGTCATTTGATGGTGAGAAGAGCAGCAAGCAACATGAGAGAGGGCTTGACTTGTAGTGAAGTTTTAGAGATGATTATGCAGATTGGGAGAAATGGTAAAGTATGGTTTTCCACCAATGCGGAGACAATTCCCTTTCTTCAGCCTGCAAGAGGCGTGAGTCGAGGGCCGACACGCTATGCTATCGCAATGGTTCAGAACATGGATTCTGTGTTCAATCTTTTTTTTACGGAGGAGACGACTGACCTCACTGTCAGCATGACCAACCTCCATGGACACCGCACAATGAGAAACTGGACTGGGGTGGACTCCACAGATCTCTGTGCCTACATGGGGCTACTGATTTTGGCCAGCGTCTACAGATCCAGAGGGGAGTCCACACGTTGCCTGTGGGATGATCGCAGTGGTCATGCGATTTTCAGAGCCACCATGTCCCTCTCAAGATTCTCCCAGTCCATCCAGATCCAGGATCATCTGAATCCTCCTCGCCTTCAGTGGAAGCTTGAGATGATGATGAGGGTGCCACATCCACACCAGGATCTGACTGTCCTGAGTCTGCGGTCAGAGTGAGAAGACAATACCTCCTGCAGCTCGCTGGAGGGTCAGACTGCATAATCATCTCTAAAACTTCACTACAAGTCAAGCCCTCTCTCATGTTGCTTGCTGCTCTTCTCACCATCAAATGACAAGCGTTTATATCCACTTGCTTTGTTTTTGTTTAGTCTGCATTTCTCACCATCAAAAGGCAGCAGATGCATAAATACACTTACTTTGTTTTAGTTTACTCCATGTAGTTTTGAGAGCTGAAGTGTATATTTTTATTTTCTCAGACGCATCAAGGTGAGTTCTCACACTCTCGCACACACTCACGCACACCCACACACACATATACACACTGTAATATGCTATTATACTCTATATAACTCCATGTAAAAGCCAGAAACTAAGCTTTTTTTTTTGCACAGGCCTGTCTAAAGGGTTAAATGGTTCCACCTGGTTATCAACAGTAAAAATTACAAATTTTACCTCTTCCCAACAGGGAAAACCATCAACAATCAAAAATGCATGATTTTATGGTGTCATGGCTTTGCAATCAAAAAATGTGGTTATAATGGAAGTCAATGGGGCAAAAACAGCCACAAACAGTAAATGAGGGAGAAAAAGTTAAAATCTGATGCTACACAAAAACTAACAATGCATCAAAACCAATGTTGTTTCTAATCTTTGACATGTCCAAGACTGTGATAAAAGGTGAAAAAAAATCCAGTCCACAATCATATTTTATATTGAAAATAAGTCATTTTCTGTGTTTTTTTTCCCAAATCAGTGACATCATTTATGAATTTGGCCATTAAAGAGTTAAAATCCTGAAATTTTTTTAAACATTTAGTAGTTTTGATCAGGACTGAGGTCGGTTAATAAATTTATGCAAAAAAATTTGAAAAAAATATTTATCTGATACATTTTTACAGCAGTTTAAAGTAGTGGCTTTTTTCAGCCACGAACATAACGAAAGGGTAGTGAATTTGCCCAGAGTGTACTGTTGAGTTTTTGAAAAATTTCAAAGCATTTTCCCAAAATATGTGTCAAAATAAGATTTGTCACCAAAAATCATTCCATTTGCTGAAACAAAGAAAAAGTTACGGCCAAATTAAGACTAAAAAATACCCCTTAGTGGCTGAAAAAAGCCACAACAGCACATAAGGGTTAAAAGGTCACTGGAGAGATTCCATGATACTACTGTGACAGTACTATAATGCTATAATACCTTGATGTTTATTATATAGTACTGAATGATTACCATAGTAATAAATAAGAGGACCACAATAGAAATAAGTTCTGGACTTTATTGTGTTTTAATCCTCGATTGTATTTTGATGCCTTTTGTTTTTATGTTTTAAGACTTTCTTGATATGATTAAAAAAAAAAAAAAAAACAAAAAAAAACAAATAATACTTCAAGGTACTTCAAAAAATGTCCAAAAACAACATTGCATCATTCCCCCAAATAATGATACAATGTATCAGGTACAAAATTATCTAAGATTTGCTTATCAAATAGGTTTAAGCAATCTAACATTTAAACAAATCTGATTGTGACTTTGCATACTGCCACTTGGGTCACCAATTGGATTTTTTAAATTGCTGAATTCTCATTTAAACTTTTTACAGTAAAGCACCACAAAACACGTATACACTTATACTTATACACTTACACTTATTACTACACTACAGCATTTCAGATAACTTTAAGGTTGTAGTAAAACTCATGTTCATAGGTAATTCGTACTGATGATGAAATATTTTATTTCAAACAACACTAACACTTGACACTTGAGCATTCCATTTTAATTAGGGGATTGAAACAAAAACACTGCATGGATTTTTGTCATTATATGATGATGGTGGTGTACATTTCATTACAATCAACTTGTAAAAGTGCATGTATATGACCCCTTTAAAGGCACAGGATCTACCAGGTCAGGGAACCTTTTTTTGTTCTTGTTCATTGTATTAAGTGTTAGCCTATACTTTAGAATCCTCCTATATTCATAAATGTTATTAGAATGGATCTTGCAGAAACACCATTCAATGAGAGAGAAACACAGAACAAGTTTCAACTAGATGAGTTGAAAACTTGGGGTGAGAACATGTCTGTTTTGCTGGAGATCTTATCACTCATTTGTTTCGCTCTCTGTGCTGTTTGAGAATTTACATATGTTTGAAAAAGGTGTATGTGTATGTGTAGGTGCTAGTTGGTGGTTTCTGTGAAGTTATATATAGCATGGGTGTGACTTGCGTTAAAGTGGCAAATTTTAACCTAACAAAGAGTTCATGGTAAAATCAACATAACTTACAGGTGCTGCTTTTCTTGTTTTATAGATGCTGCATTCATTCTAGTTCAGTTCGTTCATTCGTTCGTTCGTTCATTCATTTATTTTTATATATGTACACACACACACGTACACAAATATGTATATATATATATATATTTTATGATCATATTTTAAGATTGGTCATACAACTCTTATTTATACATATCAACAAAAGATATTAAATGTGATTTCTTTTTTTAATCAGGTGAAAAATGAGCCAAAGTCCAAAGAAGAGCCAAAGGAGGCTAAAGAAGTGAAGGAGGCAAAGGATGAGACTCCATTACAGCGGCGAACATCAAAGAATGTAGCAAGCCTGGTGCAGAGGATCAGTACCTACGGCATCCCGACCGGAGGACTCGGCTTACAACCCCATTCTCAACCCCGTGCCTCAAAAAAGAGTGAGTTTACTTTCTATTTTTATTTCAAATTTCATTAACAATGATGCTGTAAACTATTTTGTTCATAATACCACACATACAATGCTCAAGCTACCTGTTTCTGTGACTGGTCTAGCCTTTGTAAACAGCAAAAAAAGCGCCCACGCTTCATAAGATGCATCCAATCAGAAACGCCCTGTACCTTTAAATCATTTTGCACGTGTTTGAGTTTGCTGACATCGAGTTGACTGACATGTCTATGGAGGAAGGCCACATGGTCAATGTATTGAGGTGGTCTAATGGGCTTTATGCACAGCTGCTTGTTTCCTGTCTGCCATTATTGGGCAAACTTGATTAATTCAGGTGTGTCTGATTATTGTTGCCGTGACTACTGAGGTCAGGCACACCTGAATTAATCAATTTGTCCAATAATGGCAGACAGGAAACAAGGAGCTGGCTTAAGTTCAGGAAGTAGTGCAGCTGTGCATAAAGCCAATTCAGTCTAGTGGAAATTAGCGTCATGGCTTACAGCATTTTTAAAGGTGCAATATGTAACTTTTCTTCTAAAATGAAACCTATTTTTATTTTGTATTGTCTTTGTGTTGTTGTAATCACACATTACAATGATCCACTTGTCGGGTTTTGCTATTACCTCTGAAGGCCAGTATTCCTACTTCTATGTGAAGTCTCCGGGTGGGATTTTCGGATGTGATGTGCAAGCACGCTCCCGAGCCTCTCTCCTTTTATATATATAGTCTATGCGACGGCACTGCAGCTGACGACATGGAGTGTAATAACACCAAAAAACTCCTGCCTCCAGCACAACACAGACTCCAACACAAACTCCACATAAATATAAAAAACAAAACAAAAATGTATCAGCAGAAGCTCGTCAAGCCAAACTTGAATCGGATCGACTTGGGACGAAAACAAGGATCAACATCGGCAGAGCATTTGAATTATGGAGAGTCCTCAGTTATTTTTATTGTGGTAAATTACACGTTTTCAGATATGCTGAAATAATGGTAAACTGTAATGAAATAGCAACAAATATGAAACATGAAATGAATACAAAATACTGTTCCAGGATAACAAAAAGTAGGTGCTTTAGGATGTAACTTTTAATTTATGTACTAGATCTACTGTCTAACGTCATAATGTTTATAAATACACGTTCAGTACAGTAATGTTACATCCTATGATCTTACTGTTACACTGAAATTGTTCAGTCTAGTTCACTAACCGTTTTTGTTATCATATTAAACGTTCACCTATGTTGACATTGCTGATTGTGAAAGATACACAAATAGTTAGTGAAATGCCTTATGCTAGATAGCACCACAAATGTAGTGTAATCATGGTACGAGCATGGAGCATTAGTTCAACGTCAAGCTGATAAAAGTTGCCTATTATTGTAACGCTGCAGTGGGAGTTTACCCGAGTTTCCAGCATGTTGTGTGATGATGCTTTCTCCGGTGTGTTGAAAGTCTCAGTGTGGTCGTGACTCGTGTACCATGAGTGCTCGCTCTTGTGTTCGAGCACGTGCAAGAGCACGAGCGATCTTGTAAAAATTGGTTGCAATCTGAAACATCACTGCTAAAAAATACATATTGCACCTTTAATGTTAATTAGCTGGTGTGTCATTGTTTAATAGCTTTTTTTATCATTAATTTGTCACCGTTGGCTTGGTATGATTTTTTTTTTTTTTCGCACATGGTAAATTATTTAGTTACTAAATGTTTTTGGTCTGTTTGGCTGAAATTAGAGTTCAGCACAAAAAGAGTTTAGCAGATAACAGCTTTGGCCTCTAGTGGGCAGCAATAGCTTTCCTGTTGGCTCATGAAGCCTGTTTTCATTTCCTCTGTCTGAGACTTGAGTGTACGGCTGTCTCAGATTTTAGAGGAAGTCCACTTGATCCTCTCCAGCTGCATAGGAACATTATCACAGAACACAGCGAGTGTGATGCCAGCCTACATTCAAGGTTTCTGCTGAACAAATCATCTAAAACGGTGATAACAGTGGAATGTAGTTGCGCTTACTCTCTTCCTCTGTGCAGCCAGGTATATCCCATTGTAGCCTTGAGGAATTATTCAATATTATGTTTAGCTTTTGGTCAATGCAGCTTTTATTTCGAGCTAACCGTATAGAGACAGTGTTCGGACTCTTCTAAACGGTACTGTGGTGCATTAATAGAATTAGATGAGACTGAATGATGACCATGTTCACTTACTACAGTATAATACTCCAACACTTCTTTTCAAAAGCTTGTGCTAGTAAGAATTTTTAAAGAAATGAATACTTTTATTCAGCTAGAATGCTTTAAATAAATTGTTCAAAAGTGACCGTAAAGACATTTGTAATGTTACAAAAAATAAATATCAAATAACTTTCTTTTCATCAAATGTATCACTTTCTTAAGACTAATTCAGCAAATTGTCATTCAGACATCACAGGAACCTTTTAAAGGTCAGTTCTAGAAATATGTAGTTTTACTTGTCAAAAGTTACCAACATATACACTACTGTTCAATGGTTTGGAGTTTTTTTTAATGTTTTTAAAAGAATTATCTTGTGCTCTGCAAGGCTGCATTTATTTTATTTAAAATACAGTAAAAACTAATATTGTGAAATCTGTCATTCGAAATTGGTATTTTTCTTAGATATATATTCTAAAATTTAATTTATTCCTGTGATGTCAGCTGTATTCAGTGTCACATAAATCATTCTAATATGCTGATTTGAAACGTTTCTTATTATTATAAATGTAGAACATTTTTCTGCAAACCATGATATTTTTTCAAGATGATGAAAAGAAAGTTAAAAAACAAACAGCATTTATGCATTTATTAGAACCCCCCCCGCACACACACACATAATTTTTTTTTCATTATTAATGTCTTTACTGTCCTTTTTAAAAAAATATATACCTTACTGACACTGATGAAACAGAGTTGTGAGTGACAGACTTGCAGTCTTTACGATGGCAAGCACTGTATAAAGTTCTTAGATCTTGTAATTGTCACAACTGTAAACATTCAAAACTGATTTGTAGAGTTTTGGTCTACTGAATTTTGTTTCCTGAAAGAGGTTACGTCAGCCGAACAATCGGAATGTTGTTAAACAACAATACATTTCATTGCGCACACTGTACTTCTTCCTCTTTCAGAGTTTCTCTTTAAAAGGCGCATGAATCATCTCAAGGAGAGGGTGTGGTGTTTGTGTGTGAGAGTGTATGTGTGCATTCAAGTTCATTAAAGACTCTTCCTGATTTGATTGGTTGTCACTCGTTGAGCCCTCTTCAGGTAGCTAGGGGAAATGTATCCCTTGCATGCCTACTGTTATTGGCTGAGCAAGTCAGGCCAGATCCAGAGTGACTTAATATGTTTTCATTACAGAGGCCAAGAAGCGTCAGTGCAAAGCCCTGTTTGAATATGTGCCTCTGAATGAAGACGAGCTGGAACTCAAGGTTGGAGATATCATTGACATCACTGAGGAGGTCAGCAGCTTCTGTCTTTTGTGTATATTCTCTGTTTGTAAAAAATCACACACTGCACATGTGATGTGAGATATGATACAGATAATGTTCCATAATTGTATTTTCTCACAAATCATTGAGGATCATTTGCTTATAATTTAATTTACCCATTTGCTCAGCTTTTTCTTATGGGGTAATAATAAAATGTAGTATATTTATAGTTTTGATTAAGTTTCTCCCCAAATATTCTTTTATTCATTCATAGCAGTGGATCTCAACCAGAGGGTTTTGAAAAAGTCAAAGTCTATTCTGATAGGCTGGCTGATGTCTAGAATTTATTTTATTAAATGTAAACAAAGCAACGCATGCAACCATATTATTGTGCATGGTTAGTAAATTAAGGGTAAACAATTCACTTTAGGGCTGCACGATTTGAAAAAATCTAATTGTGATTTTTCTGGTTAAAATTGCAATTTACTATTTTTTTACTAATGAAAAAATATAATATACAATAATAATAATATACATTACTCCAGTCTTCAGTGTAACATGATCCTTTAGAAGTAATTCTAATATGCTGATTTATTATTAGTGTTGGAAACACTAGTGCTGCGTACATTTTTTTTAATAACTTTTGATACTTTTTTCAGGATTCTTTGATGAATAAAAAGTGAAAAAATGTATTTAAAGCATTTATTTAAAATAGAAATCTTTTGCAACAATATTGACTGCTGTTCCAAAGCTTGGGGTCAATAAAACAAATTTCTTTCTTTTTTTGAAATAATTCATCAATTAATCCTGAAAAAGTATCACACCTTCAAAAAATATTAAGCAGCACAACAGTTTCCAACATTGATAATAGCTAAATATCAAATCAGCATATTAGATTGATTTCTGAAGGATCATTTGACACTGAAAATTCAGCATTGCATTACAGAAATAAATTATATTTCACAGTATGACTGTTTTTCCCTTGTATCAAAAAAAAAAGCAGGCTTGATGAGGGATATATATATATATATATATATATATATATATATATAGGTGTGTGTGTGTGTGTGTGTGTGTGTGTGTGTGTATATGTGTGTGTGTATATTATATGTATACAGTGTATATGATTTGTTGTGCTTGTAGGACTGCACAATTGCACACTTTGTGCTTTATATTAAAATGACTAATAATTATTAGTTTGGTTATTATTGTTGTTGCTAAATAGAAATATTAAACAAATTAATAAATATTACTGTAATATTTTGCATTTTAATAATTATGCCTCAGAAGTAATATTACTTATGACATTCGTATTTTTTATTTTTTTTACAATGCACTTTAAGCCCAATTACATTTAATGTGGGCCCATTTGCACCAAGGATTGTTGTTTTTTTTGTGGTGAACTATTGGCTGCTGAGTATGAAACCAGTTCAAGAGACTTTGTAATCATTTTAAACATTTTTGGGACTTTGCAGGGTTATAATAATGAATTTCAATTGAGCAATTGGACTAATTGTGCTTTAAACAATTTTGCTGCTGTGTTGGTTTGTCACTTGATGTTCAATCTGGGTCCTAAAGTGAAACCAGTTGAAACTCACTGTTGAAAATAAGTGTTTGACTGTTTCTGTATTAGTGCTGACTATCAGTGATTTTTAGGTTGAGGAAGGCTGGTGGAGCGGAAGCATGAATGGGAAGTCTGGACTTTTTCCTTCCAATTTTGTCAAAGAAATTGACTCAATTGAAGACACCGAGACCAGCGATGTTACAGAGGAGCCAGGTACCGCTCAGCTAATTCTGTGACGCATTCTCTGGGAGGACATGTCCTTACAAGAAAACACTCAATAGAATCCTTTGTTGTGTGTGTGTGTGTGCATGTGTAGTGTTTTAAGGCATTTAGACCTAGACCAGGCATCTGCAGTCAGCATAACTTTTTGTTCTTCAGTTATTTATTTATTTTTGAGGCAGTAGGCCAACTGAAGCCGTCTGAATGTTAGACTGTTCAATGGAGTTAGTGGAGTTATAATTTTTTTTTTTTTTTTTTTTTTAGAAAGTAATACTTTTATTCAGCAAGGATGCAATAAATATATCACGGTTTCCACAATATTGATAATAATAAGAAATGCTTTAATTTTTCTTGAGCACCAAATCAGCATATTAGAATGATTTCTGATGTGACATTGAAGACTGGAAAATTCAGCTTTGGAGCACAGGAATAAATTAAATTTTAAAAATATATTAAAATCAATAATGTTGTTTTACATTACTATAATATTCAACCAAATGTAGCTGTTTAGTGAAAAGTCCCTCTTACTGGTTGTGTAGTTTATTCTTAAATGGATCATAGAGAGATAAAAAAATAGAAACTGGGTACTATTCGACTGGTCCTGTGATCTCAACATGACCCATATGAAGAAAAAAACAGTTTTACTGTACTTTGTGGACCTTTGGGCAACTCGCCCAAAAATAAGAGTGACAGTAAAAATGTCATCATTTACTTAATCTTGTTGATACAAATCCGTGTAATTCTCTTTCTTCTTTGCAACCCAAAAAGAGAAATTCCAATTTTTCTTTACCCCTCAAATACAGTGAATGGACATTGAGGGATTCAAACTTAAAGTATCCTTAAGCATCATAATAAAAGTCCATATGACATGTGTATTGTATTCCAAGTTTTCTGATTTAATACAAAAGCTTTATATGAGCAACTGAGCGAATAGTCCGTCTGAACAAATGATTCCGGTTAGTTTCACAGTCTTGAAAAAATCAGTTAAATTTTTTTTGTGAACTCATCCTTTAAATGATATCAGTTATTTTATCAATGTTTACTTCACAAGTGACATCAGAACCTTGTAATGCGCGTTGTGGCAGTACTCATACAGATATGTGTGTTCACAGATGACACAGAGGGACTGTCTAGCCCCACTTCCCCTCACCCAGGCAACGGCGTCATGGCCCAACCCAAGAAGATTATGGGCATTGGCTTTGGCGACATATTCAAAGAGGGCTCTGTAAAACTGAGAGTCTCCCAAAGACCAGTAAACGAGGAGAAGAAAGAAAAAGTAAGTGTTGTTCTGCGCCTGACAAAGTATTTCCTTCATAATATAATAATGTTCCGATCCCAATAATTGCAGCAAAGAAAACTTTTAGTATTGTGATTTTCACAATCAAAATGGATAAAGTAGAACAGTCAAGTTAACATTTATTTAGTAAATGGATTTCCACTCTAATCAAAAATTATACAACAAAGACGATAAATGTAACCATTTAAAAAAAGAAAAAACAAAACAAATGTTATGTTCTAGCTTTTGTTGCGTACCTAGCCAGTGTCATCACAGGGTTGGCCCTGTTGGATTAATGAAGATTATTATAGTCTCAATTCTTTTATTTTTCTGCTTGTTACTAGTTTTGGATTGTTCAACGTATGGAGTCCTGATTGTTAAACATGTCATGATAAGAAACATTTATTTTGTGGTTTTCTCAAGCTTTGATTTATGTATTTTGTGGAATGACAGATGGGTGTTTATAATGGTTGTGGTTCATTTTAATTTCTGACTGTCATTTTATCAACATATTCTAATCCAAGTATAAATCTTCAGGAGGTGGGACTTTGTGTCTGAATGTGTATCTGGAAGGATGTGTACTGTTCTCCGTTTCAGCCGCACTTGTTCTTTGGTATTTATATATGCTTAATATCTGCTGACTCTTTATTGTGATGCTCCTCCAACAGACATACTACTGACTATATGTAACTTTGCAAGTACGTCAACTTATTCTAACCGTACCAGTCTACTTTACTAACACTCAATGAGAGTTAGTAGACATGTTGGTACAATGTTACTTATAGTCAACAGAATGTGTGAAAGGAACCATCAAAATAAAGTAAAACCCAATTTTGTTATATCCGGGAGGAAAATGATCATGGCCTCCCTTTTTTCTTCTGATGCCCTGTGGCTTTCCGGTTTCTACCTTTCACTCTTTCATTGTCTGTCTTTCTACCGTTGTATTCGTTTATCTCAGGCACTAAAACTAACCCTGTGACATCACATCACAGGTTGTAGGACAGCAGGATGGCAGAGCCTTTTCTACAAAAGCCATAACAAAACATCATATTTTTTTTAAATGGTTACATTTATTTATTGTGTTTGTTACATAAATTTAGATGTAGTATACAAATTCATGCTAAATTGATTTACTGCTGCTTAATTTCCACAAAATAGTGCCATTTAAAATTATATCATTATCTTGGCATGTATGAAAATGTGTTCTGCCCATTCCCAAAGCCATAAGCAATGGAGCGTTGAAGGGTAATTACATGTCTAACTGCTTTACAAGTTTTTCCAGTGATTGCTCAAGACATTACATATAGGCAGACAGTCTCATGGGGAGACCTTCCTTTTTAGGGAATATGCCTCTATTTTTGGTCTGCATTATTTAGGGTGGCTGATTTTTGAAGCATTCTGGCATGCACCAGTTCTCTTATTATCATTTGTCTTCTGCACAGCACAAACTGAGAGCAGAATATCCCTGTCTGGCCCTTTGTTACATCCGCAAATAGTGAAATGCAAGTAAAAAGTGCATTTTGTTAGGGATTAGTTAACCCTAAAATGAAAATGTCATAATTTACTCACCTTGGTGGTGTTCTAATGCCATATGTCCTTCTTTCTTTTTTGGGACCACAAAAAGAGAAATTTTACAAATATTTCCTGCTCGCACTCATCCATACATGGCAGTAAAGATTGACCAGCATCATGCTTTAAAAAAAAAAAAAAGTTATTATATAATGAAAGTTTTGTGTATACAATATTTTCTTCATAATATCATGCTTTTTATTTTTCCGCACACATTATAAGTAGATTTATATAAAAGTTTTGAAACCCCTAATATAAATAATGATTAGTGACATTTCTCACTGAATTTCACTTAGGAGTACTGAGTACTTGATAAAATGTTTTTGAAAGAAATCTCTTATGCTCACCCATGCTACATTTATTTGATTAAAAAAAACACGATAATACTGCAATATGGTGAAATGTTGCAATGTAAAATGGCTGTTTTCTGTTTTAATATATTTTTAAATAGAATTTATATTTTATGTATCATTACTCCTTTAGTGTCTTCAGTGTCACATGATCTATTAGAAATCATTCTGATATGATGCTCAAGAAACAGTTGTAATGCATAATATATGCATAATATTTTAAATAGTGATACTTTTTTTTCTGGATTCTTTGAATTGAAAGTTCAAAGGAACAGCATTTATTTGAAATATTTTAGCCATTTATAATGTCATAAAATATTTTTGTCACTTTTGATCAATTTATTACATCATTGCTAACTACAAGTACTTCAATTTTTTTTTTAATCGTATTGAACAAACTTTTGAACGGTAGTGTACATCATATTTAAGTTGTTAAATGCGCCACAAATGACCTTCCATGTTTTTTTTTAAAGTCATTAAGGTCTGTTTAGAGCATTAATACTTTTAATCAATACTTCCTCTTTCCATTCTTATCACATTTTGCATCCCATTATGTCATTTACATTAGTTCGATCTTTTGCTACGACTATTATCAAGAGCTCAGAGGTCCTTTATAACACACCATCATGTGATGATGTAAGGGTCAGAGGATTTACTAAATACCCTTTAGGTTTCTTAAAAAAAAATAAAATTTGGGGTTTTGTGTCCTTGTGCAGGTGCACTACAAAATTTGAGCATACTTTCCCATTTACTCTGTTCATATGTAACAGGCAACAGTGGTTGTTGTTTACCCAGTATTTCTTTCATCATCCAGGCATGGCTGATCTGTCTCAGTCTGTACCTTCCAGTGTGCAACTGCATGTGTTTGTGTGGCTGCCGTGCCGTGTCAGTAAATCCATATGTGGTTCTGCTTCATTTTAGCCAATTCCATCATTACCATCTGCCACAAAACCTACCCCTTTGAGCTCTCCTGAACCCCCTAAAGGAGAAAAAGAGGCAGAGAACAAAGGAAAAGGTGAGTTCATGGGGAGGTTGACATAAACCTGTATATGATAATCAAAATAATGATAGGAGATTTATGGAAATGGACCAGACATGAAGGCCTCAATCCGACTGCAGTGATTGATTAGTTATCCTCCTCTTGGGAATCAGAAGCGCAAATTATAGATTGTCATACCTATCTGTTCTTGAAAGTGCCTGTTTTTTACGAATATATAATGAGTTGCAAAGTGCATTTTCTTATGCAAACACCATCTCTAGGGAAAATAGGAATGCTGACAGATAGCTTTCACCAGCTATTGTATATCCCTTTGGGTGAAGTTTCTTTATGCTCTGCCATTACTTTAATCATTAAATGATGATGATGGCTATGTGGCACACTCCACAGCTTTTTACAACCCCAGTTTTTATTAAAGGACCTGCTGTAGGTACATAAGAGAAATCATTGTAACTCATGTCATGGGTATATTCTTTTTTTTTTCTTCTTTCTGTAGTAAAAGAATACTGCAAGGCCACTTTCTCCTATGAAGCAACTAACCAAGATGAGTTGGATTTAAAGGAGGGTGACATTATCCACGTATTGAGTAAGGTATGTAACAGAAAGATAAAATGTCTCCTCGACCACAGGGATCTCTAAATAAATAACACACAATCAAGGAGCATTTTTAATGCAAAGCATCAACAATAGGAACATGGGTAAATGAAAAGGGAATAAACACTTTTACTTTTAGTGTTAAGCTATCATGGAGCAGTGTAAACTAGTTTGGGCATTATATATTCGGCTCCACCTTTTGCAAAGACGTTCAAACCAGTTAATTCTGATCGCTTCAATTAGACCAGTTACTGTATTTTAGTCTGGTGACTGAGTTAGGTTAGATTTGTGCAAACTATGCCAGAGAAATGTATTCAACATGTTAGAATTCCATATTATACTCTGCAATTATGAAGAATATCGATATCGTTTGAATGGAAATCACTCTTGTTAATTTAAAAGAAAAGCTCACACAAAGATGAAAAGAGTCTGTATGACCTATAATGCATATTTTTGCTATTACAGAGCTCTCAGATGGGGTTTCTGATGTGAAATCATTCTACAGTGATCAGAGACTAAGCGTTTTGTAGTGTATTCCCCAGTCTGTGTTTGATGCTATCTGCTGACACTTTGAAAGTTTATATGAGAATGTAGGTGTTGTATATCATATTAATGACTTCTGTTCTGTTAGAAACCTGAGGATGTTTGCTTTATTTAAGTTAAGACACATGGAGACCCGTTTTACACATTCACCAATTGTTTGTCAAAAGCCTTGAGCAGGAAGCAGATCAAAGCTGGGAAATGTTTTATACATGACCACCATCTAGTGGCATGGGATATATATACATCATTTTCCATTCATAATGATGTGTGTCTAAGCTTTTAAGACATATTCAGAAACTGTTGCGTTGTATTTCATGTAATAATCCATTTATGTTCAGGGTGGTTGATGGTATTAATGTTTTAGGACACAGGAGAGCCGGGCTGGTGGAGAGGAGAGATCAATGGCAGAGAAGGGGTTTTTCCAGACAACTTTGTTGCTCTGCTTCCTGAGACAGACAAAGAGGTAAATTGACACTCATTAATGCTGTTATTTATTGTCTACCTTAGGAGTCTTCATTATCTGGAAAGGAAATTGAACAACCCAATGCAGACGTGCAATTTAAAGATTGCAGAAAGGAAAGTTATTACATCAAAACTACCAGTTTACAGTTACGACAAGTAAAATATTCTTTTAAAATAATCTCTAATCAAAAGTTATTGCTTTCTTTGTTTATACAGACACTAACATCCAAAGGCTCCTTTAAAGTGTCTCCTAAACAGGAAGCAGAGGAGGTAAGCAATGCATTATTTTGTCAGAAAATTGCTTAGTGGAGTACACACTTATTTTTTAAATGGAAAAATATGTCCGTTTTGCAGTCCTTTCACGTATCAATTATATACGTGATAAATAGATAAATTCATGCATTTCAAAATACAGTTCCTTTCAAAAGTTGGACACCTTCTCATCCTTTGTGTTTACTGTAATAATATCATTAAAAAACTATAACAGATTATTTAGTGACTGATTATTTACTTTTTCCAAAGTTGCCACCATAAAGTTACTTTATTGTTAAGACATTTATATATAGGCACAATCTTATACAAATCTAAATCGAAGCATTTTTACCATTGATCTCAAGATTTTTAAGATCATGAAAAGTATGAATCCCATCAATTGTGTCTTAAAGGGATAGTTCACACAAAAATGACATTTTTGTCACCATTTATGTTGTTTCAAACCTGTATGAGCTTCTTCTTTCTGCTTTTGAACACACAAAAAAGAAGATATTTTAAATAATGTTGGTAACCACACAGTTGACCGCCCCTATAATTTATTACTTTATAAATTATTTGTTCTATTATTGAAGTCAATTGGTGCCATCAACTGTCTGGATACCAGCATTCATTAAAATATCTACTTTTGTGTTCAACTGAGTACGAAACTCATACAGGTTTGGAACAACTTGAGGGTGAGTAAATTAAAATTTTGGGGTGAATTCCCTAAGTAAATTCCCTTTACTTCTGACTGGTAGTGTATATTGAGTGTCATCAAATATTGAGATATTTTTTTTCTAAATTTCCTATCTCTGTTTCTTAATGAATCCCCTGTTCTAAACCTTTTGATCAAAGACTTTAAAAACCAAAATAAACAGCAGTCCAGACAATATCCGACAATATCAAATAACACGTGCCTTTTTGTGATTCACTGTTGGGGATTTAAGCTTGAAAGAAGCATTTAAATCAATTGGAGCCACTTATCTTCACCATGTGTTTCACAAACACAGCTTCATTCTAGCTTCTGAGGTCTTTACCCCAAGGGTGCATGTTTAACCACTTTTTGGCAAATTGTGGAACAAAAGGCCCCCTTTTTTATTGTGAAGAGCACATTATGTGTTCATAGCACCAGCTACCATCACTAGAGAACAAACAGAGTTTTGTGCGTGCAAAAGTTATGCTCTGCCAAATCCATTTTCCGGAGAAATTCTGTGAATCCTCACTTCCCTCCACCAACTGGGGTCATGGCTTTATATGCTCTCGGCATAAGTGTTTTTCTTTCTTTTCTAAACATTTTCATTTTCAGCCTGATTTGCCTGAATGATTGTCTTTGTGCTATGGCAGTGATAATGTGATGAGCTGAAGCTCATGTGATGGCTTGTTGAGCTCAGCAAGAAGTTCATGAAGATGTGAAAGTGTTCATTCCTCCAAGGGACTCTTGGCAGCCCATGATCAATCCTTTATCCTCCTATAAGCATCCTGTCAGATGATAAGACGTGATCTCTGTATCTGGAAATAAGGGGACAAAGTGCATTAATACAAAGGCAGTTTCTGTAAATTGTTGACATTTATTATAGAGTATTCAAATAAACACAGTACGCAAGATGTCATACCACAATATTGGGCATTTTAATCTATTGTTATTTTATCATTTGTTATTAATGCATTTATATATTATCCGAAAATATTTTAAAGATGAACGACGAAAGTCTTATTTCATGATACATGTCATTTTAAAACGTCAGTGAAATTTCAAATTCACAGATATCGATACTTCAGCAAAAACTAATACTAGGTTAATTAATGCAAGTAAAAGAATTCAAAACAGTCACAGAAGACAAGTAATTGCAAACAAAACCGACTAAAATTGAGCGGAAGAAAAATACAAATTAAAGAAACAGTACTTTTGGTTTTTCACTTTCAGGAAGATGAACTTACAGTGGTATTGAAATTGAAATATGACTAATCGCACAGCCCTAGCAAGTACAGAGACTAGCATCTATGACGTTACTCGCAGATCTATACAGGTGGAGCTGGGGAAGGAGGAAGTTTTCAAAGGAGCCTTGAGCAAACAGCAAACACTGACCAACTATTTCAATGTTGAGCAGCAAGCTCATTGGCAATCTAATTGTCTGCAGGTTGCGTTATTGACCAATCAGCCTTAGCCATCTAGAGTTTCATGATAGAACTTGGTTTATTACATAAATTGACTGGTGTACACGCATCAGACTCTGCATTGAACTGGAAATTGATTTTGTGTGTGTGTGTGTGTGTGTGTGTGTGTATGTTATTTTTATGAAATGGTAAAACATTTCAATACACATTTTTTTTGTTTGTTGTAATTTTACATTTGAACATAGAGTTCCAATCTGCCAGATTTGACTGCTTTGCTCTGTTTGCTGTGAGCGACTGAACATTAACCCCTCCAGCCCTTGATTTCCCTTGATGTCTCTGATGTTGAGGGAGAGGAAATTGTTTTGCTTTTCTTTGGATCCAAACATATTTCTTCATAGATAGGGTTGGTTAGAGATGGTCTAAGTCTAATTTCTTCTCAATTGTGTGCTGTTGAGGTTGCCTGTTACGGTAATTAACCAAATGTATTTCTGTCTCACTTCACTTTCTCATCTTTACTTTTGGTCTTACTTCTTGCAATTACTGTGGTAAATACAGATTTAAGCTGCATCTGATTTACAGAGGTATCTGTTTTATTTGCTCAACATTTTTCTTTAGTTTCCCCCCTAATTTGAGCAGTGAGACGTCTCATTTTTTAGTGTAACTCTTAAAGTTCCCCCATTTTTTCGAACATTATACCTTTCATGCAGTCTGTAATAATATAGCTGTTTGTGAATGTAAAAGGACTAATGTTTTAGAGATCAAAGTACTGGTCAAATAAAAATATATTGTCTCCTAAAAGAAAGAATGTATTCTGAACTACCGAAACAAGTCGTCAACAGTTCGAGTCTAACTTCCTTTTACATACCTTTGTAACAATGTAACAAATTTGCATAATGCCAGCCTATGGTCTTCTTTGACCCACCCAAGTTGTAGCTAGGGGTGTAACGATACACGTATTCATGGACCAGGTACGTTGGACCGTTTTTCCTGCCGACCAAAATTTCGTTATTTCAAATGTAGGTGTGTTGCATGTGGCAAGCGGTCTCATAATATAAGAGACGTGGCTTGACCACAACATTGCCCAACATCAAATGGCAAATGTAATGTAAGCAGAACAAAACTGAGCTACTTGCTATTGTGACTGTTTATCAATTTGGACCAATGCAGCGCGAGCCGATCTTAATCAAGCAGCACTGTTACTACACAGCCAAATCCAGTAAAGAAACTATTTAAACAAACACTGCGAGATCTAGTGAGAAACATTCACATTTCTCTGTTAGTAGCGGATCAAACAGCGCTGTAAAAATGAGGTGATGTGAAATGTATGTTATGAGAAAAATGATACGTATTTTTTTTTTTTTTTTTTTTACCCTGGATGCAAAACTACAGAAGCCCTTAACCGCAACGTAAAAAATAACACGCACAAAAAAAATCTATAATTAATCTAAAAAAAAAAAAATCTGTCATCTGTATGTTACCCAGGCTACGTGAACTTATGAACCAGAATTCTGAACTTATGAACCAGAATTTTGACAATGTCAAAATGAAATCGAAATTGACTACTTAGTTATTACATGTTCCAGGTCTTATTGTGAACAATTCATCAATTCAAGTGTGGCAGAGCATTTGTATAATCCTCTTAATCTACATTCATGCATAAGTGAATGAACACCAGAATCATGTACATGACAGAGGTTATGAATATTCATGCTGACCTTCTCATAAATTATACAGATGTACTGGTACGTCAGTTGCGAATGTTGTTGTTAGAACTTTCACTGATCCTGTGATGCATGTTAAGTGAGGCGATTTATTCTGATAATCAGTGCACACGATTCAATGATACTGACGAGTCATCAAATCCTCCATCGAAGAGGAGGTTGGGGGATTTCCAGCCTCAGCTATTTCATGTTTCAGTTCCTGCTGATTTTAGGTTTAAGATCCTGTTTAGTTATGTTATGCCGAGTTATGCCGCTAGGGGTTATGTTAGCCTGACCTGTGAAGAGACTAGGGTTGGGAATCAGAATCGGATACTTGAGGTCAGGAATCAGATATTTGTTATAAAACTTCGATTATGCCTATCGATTCCTATGCTCGCTTTAATGTAGTTTTAAACCCTCTAAGCGCAAGTAGACTCAATTTGAAAAAAACTCAATTCGGCTCTCGCACTCAGTTTTCTGTGCTGATACTGATAGTGATACGGAATTGAGTTCTCCTTGTTGATGTCCGATTATTAGCTGCAGGCAGCTGACATGATTTTGACCTTGACAATGGTGCTTAAAGGGAACATGGAAATATTTCTGCGTTGGTGTGTGAGTGGGTAATAACTGGTAGAAGATGCAGTCACAAGTTCTATTACATCCATTAAGAAAAAAGCAGAGGGTGAATTTTCATTTCATGCTGACTTTAATGACCGCAGCACTCAAGTATGTTTGGGTAAAACCATGTTTTCCAATATAATTTAAGAAAGAATGATCCAAAGAGCATGTTGTGCTTTAATGGAAGCCAAATCATGTGACAGTCTGTCAGTTCTCATTTGCTGTCACATTTTCCTTTTTCACAGGCCTAAAAGGTTTAAATTCGATTTTAAATCCCTGATTTTTAATGCATTCTTATATTTTGTTGTTTCTCCACAGAAGCCAAAGAAGCCCCCACCACCATCCAAAACCACAGGTATGGTACATTTTTAACATACCATGCCATTTTTGAATCTATTTAGTCGATCTCCGGTTCTGGCCGTGCCAATTTTAGCATAGCTTAGCATACATCATTGAAGTGCACAAGACCATTAGCATTTCTCAAAAAAATAAAAAATAAATGACCAAAGAGTCGATATTTTTCCTATTTAAAACTTGACTCTTCTGTCGTTACGTCGCGCACTAACACCGACAGAAAATGTAAAGTTGCGATTTTCTAAGCTAATATGACTAGGAACTATACTCTCATTCCTGCATAATAATCAAGAAACTTACTGCCGTACCATGAGTGCAGCCAGAGTAATGATATGACATGGCACCTGAAAATAGGCTAATACCGAGCTGGGAACTATTTTCAGGCGCTGTGTCATATCATTACACCTACTGTAAGTTTTAAATAGGAAAAATATCTAAACTGGTCCTTTTTTTTGTTTTTGAGAAATGCTAATGGTCTTGTCCACTTCAATGATGTATGCTAAGCTATGCTAAAATAGGCACCGCCAGAACCGGAGATCGACTAAATAGATTCAAAAACGGTACAACTCAACAGTTTAACTCTGGGGGAGTTGTAAAATGAGCCTATTTCCAAAGAAATTGGAGTATCCCTTTAAAAAGTCTTCAGATGTATTCTGGTTGCTGAGATAATGCTCAATGACTCTCGCAATTATATGTGATAAGAGCCACAAAATCGCTCTGATAAGTTTAAAGCTCATTGTCATCAAATGTCTTTCGCTTGTTTTTTGCCTGTCATTGACCTTTTGAGATTCAAAAGATGCTAGTTGATATTCAGTTATTAGCTGCAGGCAGCTGACATGATTTGATGCGCCTTGACAATGGTACTTGAGGGGGAACATGCCAATATGTCTACATCAGTCAGAGTGGAAAAAAACTGGTGGAAGATGGCATATTGATTTGAGCTGCTTCCTCTGTGGTTTTCAGAGAAGTATTCTGGTGTATGATGAGAAGATTAGAGGTGATGCAAGATAATTCAGCATATTTAATAATGACATTGAACACAGACACCATGCGTGCCCACACACTCACGGATGCATTTTTGAAAATCATTATTTTTAGCTTAAAGGGATAGTTCACTTTGAAATTAATTTTTGATATGTTTTAGTTTCCCTCAAGGGCATCCAAGATGTGGGTGTCTTTGTTTCCACAGTATTTTCAATTTTGACATTTTTCGGTCAAACCGGTGTTGTTTGTCAGTCTATAATGCAGGTATATGGGTCCACATCAAAGAGCATGCACAGAGAAGTCAAAATTAAACATGATTTAATGACTCGTGAATGTAAGTACACATTGATGGCCTAAGACATGAAACGAGCCGTTTGTGTGAGAAAACGAACAGTATTTATATCGTTTTTACCTCTTGTTAACAGCTATGTCGAACTGATCTGAATCAGATGTTCAACTGAACCGTGTGCAACGTTACGCCGGAAGTGATCTCTTGCGCATCTACGTCACGCGTTGTTTACATGGAGATTTCGGAAGTATTACCTTTCACTAAACATATTTAGATATACGGGAAATCACAATGGAAGACGATTTCGATATATCTAAATATGTTTATGTTTAAGCGATCGTTTTGCTTGATAAGACCCTTATTCATCGTCTGCAATCGTTTAAAGCCCTTTGAACAGTTTGCAGTTTGCACTGAAACTGTCTTTTGGACCTTGAACTGTTTGGTTCCCAATCAAGTCCATTATATGGAGAAAAATCCTGGAATATTTTCATCAAAAACCTTAATTTAATTTCGACTGAAGAAAGAATGACATGGACATCTTGGATGACATGGGGGTGAGTAAATTATCAGCAAAAGGTTTTTTTTAAAGTGAACTACTCCTTCAAAAGCGCATACGTCCATTCAAGTTTGTATGTATACAAAGAGAATCGCTTTTTTAATAAAAGTTGCTGCATAACTTCTGGATTTAAAATAAAAATAGTGAGTAGGTCTATGTGTTTTTGGGACAGCCGCGGATCAGTTACGCATTGCAAACACAGCATATATGAAACCACTATATTGCGTGCTACGCACCGCATACACACTGCAAACGGAGTAATTTGTGAAATATTGTCAAAATCAAATGATCTGGAGATGCAGATGTGAAGTCTGATAAGGCAGCTGTAATTCAGTCCTTCACAGCTCTTGTCTGCCAAACATGCAAACAATGAAAGCGGATGTGCATCAAAGGAGACCACATCATCCCAATTGCTTTTTAGAAAGCTTGCAGATGGTTGCAAAGATTTGGTCTGTCTTTCCAACCCACACAGGAAATGCAAGTCATAGACTGTATGTTTCTATTCTGTTCAAGAGTCTGTCTCAGAAGTCGTTTTGTTCTTTTATCTGCCGTATCTAGAGCCTCTGTATCTGCAGTGTAGTACCTAAAAACATATTGTTAACTCAGACAATATGCTTCGTTTCTCAGTCCTGAAACCTGAGGCCTCAAGTGTGGACAAGAAGCAACCGCAGACACGGCCTGAAGATAAAGGTAAGAGAGGGTTCTCTGCCCAGTTTCTGTTATACCACAAATTAAAATTGACCTTGCTGACTGCTTTACGTTTTATTCCTGTTTTAACATACCCAAAAATCACCAAGGCCCTGATTTGTTCTTTTTCTTTTTATTCATTTATTTATTTGCTGAGAGCCTATTAAGAGTCTGTGTAACCTGAGGAGATAATCATTCTTGCTTTCATGCCTTCAGACATTTCACTTTCATACCTAATCTTCACTGCAGGCGAACAAGATTGCTAAAGCATAAGCGAACCCAACATCATGACACTTACAATGGAGACGTCTTTGTTGATTTTGATCATTTATTTCTTTTGAATAGTTTAATTATTTGGATTATTATTTTAAATATTAGCATTCAAAAGTTTGTGGTCAGTATAAAGAAAATATTTTAAAAATATATATACTTTTATTCAGCATTACCCCCCCCCCAAAAAAATAAATAAAAATAAATTTCAGGATTTTTTTTTAAACTTTCTATTGATCAGTTTTTAGAATTATATTGTTATGATGAAACAGCGTTTTTTAATGAATCTCCTGAATGGATGATTTAGTGACAAATAAAACAATGCAGTCAAAAATAAAAAGTCAGTTGTCGCCACTTACTTTTGTTATGATGAAATTGATGTGAGTTACTTTCAAAGGGTGATTTGATCTCGAAGAAAACATCAGTGTTTATAGATACTTTTAGCCAGTACTTCTATATGATAATCTGAATTTGTGTAATAGAGAACAATACTGTGTGATTGAAAAAGCCTGTTTGTGAAGCTGTTTTATACAGTTCACTGCTCTCTTTGGCTTAGCGATGGCAACAACGCAGATTTGAATGTTTTGGCACAGTGACAGGCAAATCATTGCAACATGCGCCACTGCCAAATTGTTGTATCAATTGCTTTAATGAGCTCTTTGTTTCTGCCTAAATTAATACATGATATTGGCTAACTGATTTGTTTTTTATGGTGATCATAGAACTGTTTTTGAAACAACGAAACAATATGTACTGTGAAAATCTCTATACAAATAAATGTGAATTAAATTGAATTTAGGGATAAGATAGTGTGATTGTTAGAATCGAGATTGGGATCTTTTAACGTTTAATCATGCAGCTCTATCATAACCAAAATGGCCATTATACCACCTGAAATATACCCAGATATTGAAATTAAATGGAAAGCTAATGAAATGGAATAAAATTGAAGCAGGAAATCTGTATCGAGACCATCCCTATTTACAAAGTTGCTACTATAGCTCAAAGTGGATGGGCATCATCAAAGTCATCTAGAGTGTGTACTCTGAATTCTGTTAAAGGAGTTGTTCACTTTTGAAAAACCTTTTGCTGATAATTTCATCAAAATGAACGAATCTTTTTTCCGAGTCAATTTGTTCATTTCGTTCGTTGAATGAACCAATTGCCTTGGAAAAAGATTCGTTCATTTTGATGAACAAGTTCGAACAGGAGAGTCATAAATGTGTGTCACAGAAAAGAGCAAGGCGAGCATGAGCTTATAAAACTTAAACTTTGTTATTTATTTATTAAATGAGCAATCGTTTAGCTTGATAAGACCCTTATTCATCGTCTGGAATCGTTTAAAGCCCTTTGAACAGTTTACAGTTTGTACTGAAAGAGTCTTTTAGACCTTGAACCATTTGGTTCCCACTGAAAGTGCATTATATGGAGAAAAATGCTGGAATGTTTTCATCCATCAAACACTTTCATTTCTTTTCAACTGAAGAAAGAATGTCATGGACATCTTGGATGAGTAAACTATCAGCAAAAGTTTTTTGTTTTTTTTTCTCACAAAAGTGAACTACTTTAATGAAGTTCTTTGTATAAGTGTTGACTTTGTAGGAAAACTGTCATGCACTTTGAGCACCAGGATGTTGGACAATCTGCTGTTGTGTTTACCTCAAGGACTTCCTGCCGATTACTTTCCTTTCATATGAATGTCACTCTACTGGAACGAATATCTGATTAACTCTGTGGTGTTTGAAAGCTGGACTCTCTTATTTAGACCAAGTGTTACAAATTGAACAACAGACTGTGAATGTGAATATCGGAAAGTGTGATTACATGAAAAAATGCATAGATTTGAGAGGATAAAAGCAGATCGATGTGGTGAAAACATCCTGCCAAAATTGCCTCTGACCTACTTTTTGAGACATATATGTCAGTGTGAACGCTCATGAAAGTTCATCATGTCATTAGGAGAAGTTTAGTTCATTACGTACATTACACCACTACAGTGAAGTGGCTTCTGTTCTCATGGGTTTTCACTGATTTTTTGCGATTGTGTGCCAAGAATCAATAGACATACAATTAATATGCTGGAAGTTATATGAAATTCTAAAACCTGGAGGGAAGGGGGCCAATAATATTGCTGAATTAACCTTATAGTAATGTAGATAGATAAATTCAATAGATAATTAGCTAAGAGATTGAACAGATAATTCAATCTCTTAGCTATCAGAAGCTTATAAGAGACACACATGAATTGATAATCCAAATTAAAACAATGATAAGGTATACATTTATTGTCTCAAAACATATATATTTTTGTCTTTAAAGTTGTCAAGCCCTTGCCAGAGAAACCAGCCAAACCTGCTGGCCCCACCGTCCCCCCGAAAAAGCCTGTGCCTCCAAGCAAGGGACTGCTGCGTCCTTCCATCCACACAAAACGACCTGACTTGCCTCTCACTCCATCACCAGCCGCCAAGCAAGTGTTGGTGTCTCAAGCTTTATCATAATGCATTTTTTATTTTATTTTTATTTCGGAAGATTCCCTGGTGTTAAAAGTATATTAATATTTGTATTAGATCAAATATTAAAATTGAGGTTTTTCTTCTCAATGATTCTCAAGATATCTGCGCGCTTGTATCTGTGGCACATAAGGTCTATATGGCAACATAGATTTGCATTTAGATTGTGACTGTAATGCCTCTTAAATCCATCCCATAGGCACAATGGAGAAGTTCCCCTCACACGAACAAAGTCAGAGACCGAACCTGTACCAATCAAGCCAAAATCCACTGTTGTGGACAGCGGCGAGAAGAATTCAGAAGCGCGTAAGTTGTTCTTTTTTTGATTTGATATTCATTGATCATAACATGGCTCAGCTCAGTGTGTTTTTTGCTGTGGTGTTGTGGGTGAATCCGAGCTCTGTTTGTGGATGAGTACTGCGGATCACTTTCTGGGAGCATAATTATTCCTCTTGCACAGAAAGAGCAGGTTTCTCAGCCTCAAAGGAGCATGGGAAGAGTCCTGCTGTCATGTTCTAAATCCTCAGTAATCTCCATGATTTCATGCCCTACTTCTATCCATGTGTCACCCCATCTTGTGCTTAATATTGCACCAGCCACCTTTTCAAAGATGTTAGTTAAAAAAATGTTCTTGTTAAAAATGACCTGTGACTCTGAATGTTCATAAAATGTTCAAGCGGTTTAGTCCAGATTTACTGAAGAGGCTTGATGATCCCTTTATATGATGATGAACATGTAAAGAGCCAGATATTCAGTCAAGATTGTATCAAGTTGTTGATTGTTCGCAAACTCTATTATTCTCAACAAGCCACAGATAAAGGAAGAGACTTTGGGTGTCATCTTAACATTGTTGATTTGGGGATTTTTAGAAGTCTTTGGCAAGTTATTTCTCAAGGTTTACCATGTTTTGAATCTTGGTATGCTTTGTGAAATCGCAAATGAATTAACTGAGCTGGAGATGATATTCTTTTCGGCTGTTAAAAGATGTCTGCTGTAAAAGGAATATTTCTTATCACTAATATTGCTTAATTTTTTGATGACGTAATTTAGGAATCTTTTAAACATTTGAGAAACTATTATTATCACTGTAGAGTAATCAAAATGAGTTTAATTGGCCGATTAGTGCGACTAATCTCTCGGCTCAAGCTTATTCTGATGACAAATTTTAATTAAGTCTAGCTGTCTGTATAAAATTAGGTTTTTGGCATTAATTTGTAATACTGTGATTAAAACAAAGTTAAACGTCCTCCAGCGTGCCACTACATTTAAAGACTTTCTTATCTAAGGCACCATATTTTGCTTGGAAAATGTGTCAAAATTGCTTCAAAGTAGCCAGCTGATGAAGCTGAAGGAAACAATGAGAGAGATGGTTACATCAAAACGAAATGACGTTTGAGCAGATTCACTGTTTTTGGATAAAAGCTTTGACCAAAGTAGCACCAAAGTTGGTATAATCGCGTCTTCATGAGCGTTTCAATGCAGCAGACCTTCAGAAAGAGAAAATCAGAAAGTCAGGTTATGGCTGAATTGTTAAGTAGGTAATGGTGGGCATATAATATCCGTCAGGTAAATTTTAAGTGCCAGATTTCAAGATATCAAACTGACAGCTAAACCAAGATGATCGATTGAAAAATTTTCGAACATGACACAGTCTTTATATATCCATCACTTTGTCATGATTGTAATTTCCTGCTCCGTTGGGTTTTGATCTAGACTGGGTGTAGACTTACTTTATTACCTCATATGACTTTTAAATTGGCTCCAAACTCTATATAACTTCTCAATTATAATTCAGCTTAGATGGATTGTGTTTGACCTTTGTGACTAACGGCTGTTCTCATGTTTGAAGTAAATATTTTATGTGTCTTATTCCCATAGCTAATCTCATGAGTTTTGATGAAGTCTCCTCTACCTCGGAGAAGTTAACCCACCCTACTGCACAGCGACCAAAGATGCCTGGGAGAAGACCGCCGGCTCACAGAGGCCAATCGGTGAGCAGAAGCTTGAGCTCTGGTCTCTCATTAATATACTAATGCAAAAGTCATAGAAAATGACATAAAGCATATTTTTTTTTAAACAAAACATTTTAATTATAATATTTCATTAAGAAGTTTGTTTTTTCACTTAGCTCATACATTAAGGACCATGCTGCCACTTTGTAGGGAAGGGTTTGTTTTCTCCTTCTTTACACACTTGGAGATAACATTTTAATTAAAATTGATGTAATTTGTATTATTTCATGAAATTACATTTTTAGAAGAAAAACACAAAATAATTATTTATATCAACCAATCAGCATCCATAGCAGCATCCATTATTATGTTCTATTATTTAGTTCAATAAATGCCATGGGTGAAATCACAGATGTCACGTAAACCACAATCTCAAACCAGTATCTGCTAAATCTCTTTAAACTACCATAAGCACTAACATTTGTTTTTAAACAGTTTTTGTGATGTGAAGGGTGGCATAGAGAAGGGATCATGCAGTACGCCGGTGTGGATCAAAAAAAGCTTTTCCGTTGAAAGCCCAGATGGGATTCCTGTCAAGTATAGCACTATTTGCACTTTGCTCTTCACATGTTTTTCTAAAACGCTCTGTTACGTCTTACAGCCGAGCAAGGAGATTGGTGAGAAAGCTGAGAAAATGGAGGAAGTGGATGAAATTGACCCTGTGCCTTCCGCACAGAATTCGCTGAAGGTAAATCAGGTTTTTACCTCGAATATATATAGTACAAACAAGGGCAGAATTTTTCATTTTTGGGTGAACTATCCCTTTAATGCAAGAATCTTATGTGCCTTTCTGTAATATCTGAGTCAAGTTATTGAATAGCAAACCAAAAGATCTGGTCTGATTATCTGTGGCTCCTTGAGAATAATACATCCCATGAAATTAGGTTCTCAAGGGTTTGTGAACAATCAACAACTCTCTGATAAGATCTCGACTGAATGTCTGGCTCTTCTTTTTCAATGTAGTTTCAGCCCTGAGGACTTGGTATTTTCGTATGCAGTGTTCTTTACATTAAGCTTATGTAAAGTGGACTGAAACACTGTCTGGTTTCACACAGATGGTTCTCATATTTGGTCATTCAGTCAAAATCTCTGTCAAAAAAGAGAACTATTTATTGTACGGTAGTCGTGTCTGGTAGTTTTTGCAGTGAAACACAAACTAATAAAATAATATTGAAATTAATTTTGGCAAATAATGTGGTTGTAGTTTCATTAGTGATATGTTTTGTCATTATTGCTGCTCTTTAGATATAAAAGCTAAAAGAAATGTAATTAAAACTGCAGCTTTTATGTTCAGCAGGGTATGCACAACTGGTGGTTTTGTCCTAATTTGCCATTTATCTGCTAAACTAATCCATATTAATTGAGCGGTTTAGTCCAAATGTACTGAAGAGCCTCGATCGTTTTATATGATGAACATATAAAGAGCCAGACATTCAGTAGAGATCGTATCAGTTATCAGAGTTGTTGATTGTTCACAAACCCTTGAGATCCCATAATTTCATGGGATGTATTGTGGCTTCTCAAGGAGCCACAGATAATCAGACCAGATCGTTTTGTTTGCTATTCAATTACACAATTCAGATATATAACTTTTTTCACATATAAACATTGATCAGCAAACATAAGCTCAATCAAACCTGCTTGACGTGTGAGAATGAACCTCATTGGTTCTCGTTTTAAACTTGCATGCTTGAGCTCCCGGTTACCACAACTGGTGTGTGAGTTGATCAGTTGCAGTATTGGTATCAGTTATACTGACATTATTTAATAAAAAGACCTAGGCCAACCATTAAATAAATATTTAAAATGTAAATGTTGGAGGTTAAATGTGAAATAAGTACAATCTAAAAATGTATCAACTTTATTGGTAGTTGCAATTAATCACGATTAATTAAAGATAAATGTGTGATTTCGTTTTTTTTTTATAATTATTTGATCGCAATTGGAATTATAAGCTAATCAAACTTTGGACACATGAACTCAGACCACCTTCAAATTTTTAGCAATTTCATTACATTTTAAAGTGGAGTAGCGATTAATGTTCCTCCTAATCAGGGGTTTCTAGCAATTATGAAAATGACATCAGCCTCTCAGCTGGAAACACCTCAGCAAAGTCACCTGCCGTTGTGTAAAGTTCTCAAATCAAGTGAAATCATTCTTGTACATCAGACTATAAGGCACTAGTTCAGAAGGCAGATACATGATAAGGGTATTTCAGTATAAGGATGTAACTGTTGTATTGTTTGAAAAGGAAATGCGTGGACCACTAAACATGCATTTATAAAAAAAATTGGATTATTTTACTATTGATACACTTTTTGTTTTTCTTGCAGACGTCCGTCTCATCGCCCTTACCTTCTACAGCACCTAAAGCAATTTCATCCACCCATTCATCCACCCATTTTACCCCTGAGCCCAGACCAAAACCTGACAAGGAAGAGGAGAAAGGGTCTGAACTAGATGACCTGAAGGCTCAGATGAAGGAGCTAATGCTGTCTGTAGAGTTACTAAAGACACAACAGACGTAAGTATTAGGTTTTTTAGTTTTCATACTGCTTGGTTTCTCGTATTCTTTACTGGTCGAGTTATGTCTATAACGCACAAAAGTTGTTCATTCACATTTAAAATTTCATCTACGTTACATTTATTACTTTTGCAGATGGTTTTATACAAAGAACCTTCATCAAAGTGATTCATCTTAAGGAGGCAATAACTCTAGAAATGCTTGCTATGCAAGTATCAAAAAAGAATCATTTGTCCAGAAAAGTAGTAGGTAAAGCTAGGGAGGCATACAAGAAGTAGTGAAAACATAAGAAAAACAGAGATGAGTTTTCAGGTGTTTGAATATTGTGAGGGATTTCGCTGTCTGGATATGGTTGTTAGGATCATTCCGTCTCAGTGAAGAGAAAGTACATAGAAATCAATACAACCTTAATGTTTAGAACTCGGTTTTCTTTTGTAATTCTGTAACCTCTAACATAACTTTGCAGGAGAGATCTCAATGAACTCCGAAAAGAGCTGGACGATGAGCGACTCAAGCGGGTGGCCTTGCAGGTAAAGTAATCTTTAAATCAGAATTTCTCTTTACGGCTTGTCCGATTCTGTCAGTTTGATGTGAATGGATGTCAAGAGTGCGGATTCTGAGGGCAATGAAACGTAGGCGCGATACCTTGAGTTTGCCTCCATACTCAGCAGGGTGAACACAAAGGGTCTGACTCGGCTCTGAATCTCATGCTGCGTGTTTCTTCTGCTTACTGACCACAAAATGAACTATACTGAATCAGAATTCCACCTCTACTAGCCACCTAGGGGTACGGCATCAAATTAGGACAAGGTATTGATTGTGGCAAGAGGTGACTGAGATGATTTAATATGTTACATCTTCGTCACTGTCTGGTGAAAATCTCCAAAAACGCTACTTTTCAGGAAATGGAAAAAACACTTTGTTTTACAATTAAACACCTTGTTGTCAAAGCTGATATTGTGGCTTTGTAAATAGTCAGACACTTGCATGTGTCATTATATTATGAAAGGGATAGTGACTCTGGGCCATTGAATTGTTTGAAAAATAATGCACACCTGATGTGACCAAGTCAAGTCACATTTATTTATATAGCGCTTTTCACAATACAGATTGTTTCAAAGCAGCTTCACAGTGATAACATGAAAGTAGTACAACACAGATCAATAATATTGCTAAACACTAAATAACCCCAACTGAGCAAGCCAAAAGCAAGGCGACAGTGGCAAGGAACCAAAACTCCATCAGATTGGATGGAGAAAAAACCTTGGGAGAACCCAGGCTCAGTCGGGGGCCAGTTCTCCTCTGGCTTACATTCATATTGTTTATATATAAATATTAAATATAAATATTGTTTATGTATAAAACGGCGCCATAACATATCGCAGGCGTTGAGTCGTCTCTTCACAGGCGTTGGTCCTCTCATCACAGGCGTTGGGGCATCCGAATCCCCGTGAGAGGCTGGATACAAAACTGGACCTGACGAACGCCGTTTTTCTCGGGACAAGCGTCCCGAAATAACAGCAGAAAGGCAGATGGGAAATAATTAGCATAGCTGATGTTCATAATGATTTCCATTATACGGGAGTCGGTGTTAGAAACCACTATCTCACAAACTCTCCGTAACCTGAACTCTCCGCAACCCAACCATACGCGCTGACCCGATTGACTAAGGCTGTCGAGCCCCACTGTCGCGGAAATGCGTCCAGTGATATATGAGGGGAATAACGGTGTTATAAATAAACGGCGTTGCTAACGGCGGGCGTTATTTTTTTCAGTAACGAGTAATCAAACTTGTTTTACTGTTTCCTGTCAATAAAATTTTCCGTTACTATAATTGAGCTCACTGAATCTGTTTTCATTCGATCGGGCTCTCAGGACCTGCAAAATTTTTTCTCTGGTGTGTGTTTTTCGCTGGACTGGACAAAAGCGAATCGAACGGCGCAAGCGTGCTCACAGTGGGCTAGAGCGACTGACTGTGTCCGAGAGCGCGCTCGACAGTGCGCGAGAGAGACCGTCTCAGACTCAGTCAGTCTCTCTAGCGCACTGTTGAGCTGGCTTGCGGCGTTCGATTCGCTTTTGTCCGACAGAGAGACCGACTGTGCATAATTATAGTTTAAGCTAATGCGATCATCAAATATTAAACTTCATATAAATTATAACTGCCTAACGTTAAAGAAAGAAATGTCGACCAAGGACGAGCTATAGGACTTTGCAAGCTTTGAATACAACAACATTGTGGCGAGTAGGGATGGGCAACGATTAATCGCATCCAAAATAAAAGTTTGTGTTTACGTAATATATGTATGTGTGGTGTGTATAATTATTTTGTATATGAAGAGTTCAGATGCAAAAGCCTCTAAATGCCATTTGAAATTTTCTTCTAAAATAACAATTTTTATCAAGCTTGTATATTTAAGTTCAGTAATTTCACTTAAATGACAATTAATAGGTCATCTTCATTGCCATTCAAGTGAAATCACTGAACTTATATATACAAGCTTGATAAAAATGATCATTTTAGAAGAAAATTTCAAATGGCATTTAGAGGCTTTTGCATCTGAACTCTTCATATATAAATACTAACACATGCATGTATATATTTAAGAAAAATGTGTTCTTAATATATCAAATATTTATACATAATATGAATTATGTATAAATATATATAAAGTATATACATGCAAATATTTCTTAAATATATACATGCATGTGTGTGTATTTATATATACAAAATAATTATACACACCACACATACATATATTACGTAAATACAAACTTTTATTTTGGATGCGATTAATCACGATTAATCGTTGCCCATCCCTAGTGGCAAGCAGGACGAGGCCGAGGGACGTGAGAGAACGGCGCGAGGCCGGTGGCGTGAGTGATAATGAATGACACCTGTGAGACGCACCGGTATCTCTCACGCCACCGGTCTAGTGCTATTCTCTCACGAGTTTTGTGAAATTGATCAAAAATGCTTGTGCCGAAACGCTGGTGGGAAAAGAGTTCAAACAGAGTTAGTGTTTGTGTGCTTATTTCCAGATGGAGATAGATAAAGTGAAGAAGCTTGTACAATCAACATGAAATCTGGCTCCCTGAACTGGACCGATGGCCCCGTTGTCACGTCCCGAGTGGAAAGCGACCTCCAGATGGAGGGACGATATCATTCACGTCATCATTACACTCACTGACTTACTCCACAAATTGTAAGATTCACATATTTGCACAAGAGGTTTTTTTTCTAGGTTTGGAAAAGTGTAATTATGACAGATGTATATGGTTGTTTTCCTCTCTTTTTTTTCTTTTTGCCAACAAAAAATGATCGAGGCCTTACTTTACTACTGTGCTGGATATGAATTCTGGGCACTTTTTGAAAAAGTGCAGCAGATTATGCATTTAATACTACTGAGTCTGTATACATGTTGGGGGATTATCTTGTTTCCTTGGGTTTTTTTTTATGACGGGCTAGTTTTTAAAGAAAACTATCATGATCTCAGCAATATTCTGTCTATATTAGCCTCATTAGATGATTATCAAATGTATGGCGTACTATTGGTTCCTTAGTGATGATGTATTCTGTTGTTGTTTCAAAAGGGAGAAGATTTCTGTTCGTTTTTTCTCTTAACATTCCTATCCAGGGTAACACTATCGTGCCTGTTAAGATTTTTACAAGTGTTAATACTGGGAGCTCTCATACAATATAAATATATATAAATATATATGTGTATACTTAGATCTACGGCATGATATATTTTTATGGTCTACTGATTGACTGGGATTGTGTAGCTGTGTTTTGGTTTAAAACACCCAACATAAGAAAATGTGGCTTCGACAAGTGGTGCCATTTCACCAAACAAATGGCAGATATCCATTTGGCAATTTAGGCTTTGGTTTAATGGCAGAGAATACCGATGGTTTTGTTCTGCAGTTACGCCCCCTTGCCAAAAATCACGTTGAAATTGGAAAGATACATTTGGCTTTTCTTTTTTTTTAGCATAAACCTCTCTGACTGCTGTTTCTACATGGATGATTGGCTAGTTAAAACGTCTGGCATGATGAAATATAGATGTTGAGGAATGAACACCTCAGGTTATAGACTGGTGGTTGGCACAGAGTGGCTCTCTGAGGAGTATTTTTTTGTGTTAACAGCTGTGCAGTTGAAGTAAGTACTGCTGACCAAAATGGATCTTTTAGTCAATTGGTTCCGATTGTAGAATTACACGGTCAATAAAACACTCTCAGGTACACTGGAGTGTGCCCATTCCTCAGACCTCTTAACCCTTAAGCTGATGATACATTTTTAAAAGCATTCCTGAGCAGGGATTGTTGGCTTGTCTCTGTGTGAGAGTGTGCGGGAGTTGCTGATACAGTAGGATGCCAGGTTGATCTCTAAAGCAATAAACAGACAAGTCTTTTTGGTTTCCATTTCTTCATGTTTAGTGTTCTGATGCTCCAACTTTACAGGATCTTCCATGAAAGTACATGGAAAATTAGTCCTCTATGTTGTCTGAAATTGGGTAGAACACATTCCATTTTATTATTTTATTTCTTAAGATCTGTTGTGCGCATACAACATCTATCAAAATGATCTTGTTTACATGATTTAAAACTGAATTGCATGAGCTGAGTTTTTTTTTTTTTTTTTCCAAACGAAATAAATATCATGTTTATTTACTGAGATTGTTGTGATTATTTAGTTGTTAAAGATTTTTGTATTTCTTTTTGGGGTCAGTATAAAGGCGGGCGTACACGGTGCGATTTATTGCAGTTTAATGACCTCACAGATAATTTTTTTCTATCGGGAGAAATCGCGTGGAAATCGGTTGTGCTCACGTTACGGCTCGTGTCGTGTGCTAGGAAGATACGAGCCGAGCCGAGAACCTCTCGACTTCACGATAATTTTTAAGCATGTCTAAAAGTTTGGGAGCTGTCGGCTTGAATTCGTGTGGTGTGTGCGGTTTAAGGAGCCGATTTGTCTGTTTATCTGAATTTGACCAATCAGGAGCTGAAGCAATCCACAGAAGAAAGACGAAAATGGCAGATCCACAGCGAATTTGGACTATTGAAAGGGAATCCTACCACTTTATTATGATGATTTTAGTATCATGATGATGATTAATAAATGCATGCACAATTATCAGTGAACTTGATAAATGGTGCAGATATGTTTTACTATGCTCAAAAAAATGCCTTTCAACTGAATGAATGTGCAGCAATTTGTACAAATAGAGTCTGTATATCTGTAACCATAATAAGCGCATTTAGTTTCATATTTATTATGTTTGTTTGTTTTTCCCCATCTATGTTGATTATGAAAAGTAGCCTAGATTAGGCTACGCAATATATCGGGAGACATGGCCAGACATGATTTTGACCTTCCTTACGTGTTGGTTTGTAGAAGTGAATTTCTTTTTTGTAAAAATTGTATCTTTATTTTAATAAAATTTTCATCAACCAATTGCCTGGATTTAATTAATAAGAAGCAAATATAGCTGGATTTACAAATGCATCTTGATTGTTGCTCGCGCACATATGTCGAAATAATGACATATCCGTCGAATTGTCCTGGTTGGAGACTGTTAATAGAAAGAGGTCATTATCACCAATTAGGTGAACACTGATTCCCGAGATTTTTTTTATCAGGGTTTTTGGTGCAGAACTTCATGTGAATTCTTCAGAATTCAGCAGGTGCTAAAATCGTGTCGTATATCACTGCCTCCGTACGATTTTCGGATAAATTCACTCGTAAAGTGTGCGTGGACGTACGATCTTTCCGACCATCAGAATTTGCGCCATGCACGCCCGCCTTAAGAGTATAATATAGATTTTAAAGGAAAAGTCTCTTATGCCAATACCAAGGCTGCTTTATTTAATCTGAAATAAATCGCAATATTATTACAATTTAAAATAACTGTTTTCTATTTTAATATATTGTAAAATGTGTTATTCATGTGATCTCCACTCCTTCAGAAATCATTCTAATGTGCTGATTTGCTGCTCAAGAAACCTTTCTTATCATCAGTGGTGTGTGTGTGTGACAATTACACTTGATGAATAAAATATGAAAGCATATTTTAATTTAAATAAATAAAAGTGCAATTTTGTTAGAATTAATTCTAAATAGCCCTCATTGATTAATAATGGCGGTAAATAAGGACATACAGATTGGATGAGAATTCACTCAAGGAATTGAAATGTTTTGATAAAAGAATGATGATTAAAATTCACATCTCACTCAGTGCCAATTAATCTTTCCCCTTTAGAAGATCTCCAAATCCATTCTTAATGTCTGGAGGTCATACAGCCTTTTAGCTCTCGTATTGACAAGTGTTAATTCAATCGGAGAACAAGGGCATTTTGAGATGTTATAATTATAAATTGTAACAATTTACAAAGGCAGGAAACTCTGGGAAAGTCTCCAATCAGCAGAGCTGGATTTAGACGGATTCATACTCCGAGCCATGCTGTGAGAGACGCACTTTTCCATCTGCCGAGCTGCTCAGAGCCAGTGTACATCTTCTTCAGTCTGTGTTTACAACACAGATCCATCCAATCCATCACTGATATTGTGTAACAAAGCCAGTCAGATGCCAAGATCATGTTTAATCACGTGTCTTTGTCAGGTCAACAAAATGTGCCCCCATCAAAAGCTGCAGCTATTTAGACACCTGTATGTATATCATTTATCATTATGAGACTACGGTCACTTCCTTTTGCCCCCCAAAAATTGACAGAACGCGAGTACTTGATTCTTTGTGCCTTTATGTGCAACTAAAATCTACTTATTGCCTTAAAGAAACAACTTTTTAAATATTATTCATTTAATAATTAATGCAGCCACCTGATACTGATACCTGATACATTAACTTAACTTCACAACTATAGAAATGAACATTATAATTAATGAATTATAGGATATTATAATCTAATACAATAAGAATATGCAAACGTTTTGGAGTAAAATTGGCTTATTATTATTATTATTATGCACCAAGGATGTATAAAATGTTTAAAAGTGCAAAAGATTATTAAAAAAAATGTTTTTATTACAACAAATACATGCTCTTTTTTTATGTTCTTTTGAACAGTATGCATGAAATAATCCTGAAATTATTTTCCACATTGTAATAATAATAATACTCCAAATCTTGGAATGATTTTTGATGGATCATTGGCCATTGATCATTGGGATCATTGTTTTTTTTATTTTTTATTTTTTTTATTCCAAGGTCCTCAGAATGATGCAAAAATAATAATTAGTTTTGCCGCAATGATGTTCTGAGAAAAATTGTAGTTTCATTTATTAGTCAGCTGACAGCTCATGAACTGGAGTCTTGTCATTCTCATGCTCTTTCCTAAAAAGCCTTTTTCAACCAAACTCGTGACTATCAATGGTGTCCTTTAAGTTGTGTGGTAATGTGTAACCCTTTTTTAAATTCTATGGTCAAGGTCACATCTATAGTGATGGATTCAGCTGTTTGTTTGCTGCTTTTTTTCCCCCTGACTGGCACAATTTAAAAGTCTCAGAAACATGAAGATGTGATTACATTATTGGATTTTCAAATTATGTTGTTTATATGTGAAGGTTGCTGATAGATATAGGAGATGGTTGTGTACTACTTTAGAATTAAGCTCATCCATTATTCATTATTCATTATGCTTGACTTCACACTTGCTACACAAGTGTATGATCATACACCACAGCTCTACTGTCAGTAAACTAAAATAAACCCTTTCTGGGGCTGTGATCACTGCAAAAGCTGGGACGTGACGTGAAGGCCAAGTAAGCCATACTAGGAATTTGAGCAATCCATCTGTCGGACAATTCAGGATAAGATTCAAAATGGATTTAGACTCAAATCAGTGTCCACTTATTTTTTTATTTGGTGAGTAGCATGAAATAAAAGGAATAATGCTAGTCATTATTGTGAAATTATTGCACCCTCAAAGTGCTTCAGTCACAATTGACGATAAACACAGTGCTTTGTACCATTGAAATCTTGACAATGAATGTCAGAAATGGCCCTTATAGACCTGTTTCACTTTCACAGCAGCGCCATCTTTGATTTCTAATGGGAATGAAAGCAAGGCTGTGAGTGAGGATATACATCTCTTCAGTGGCTTTACTGTTATAATGTTTTTGGATTGCTCTGCTGACGAAACACTGCAAAAATATGTTCCCAAGAAACTTCACATGAGCTGTGGAAAATCATAAGTGATAAAGGAGCTTTTTAGATCTTTTGCCATTGAAAACCTCCCTCACAGCCAGTAACCTATGAAATACAACATTCACTTCATTCAAAAAGAAAATTGAATGTTTGGTAGTCTGTGCCAGAAAGGTTACTGCTCTATTGTTTAAACCATTCCACTGGTTCCTTTTCATGTGGTCTTGATTATTAACCCCTCACACTGGGGTTGGAAATTAAATAGCAAGCACAAGTATTTCATCCACAGACTCTCAAATGTTTTGCCATGGACTACAGTGTTGACCTTGAAAATTATTGCCTTATTGTTTTTTTACTCACTGAGATTGTTGTATGGTTATCTTGTTCTTTGGCTGGTTGTTTATGTCGTATATTTCTCATTTATGCAACTTGGGTTTCAGGGTTTTATCTATATCAGTTAATTAGTTTGGCGAGGATTCCTTATGCATTTTAAATTGGAAGATAAGTGAATATTCAACACAGTCCAAGGTCTGAGACCACTAGACTTTTCTAATTTAATTAAGTTTTTCTAATACAAATTATATTATCAGCATAACAAAACAATTTGGTCTGCCCTACGTTTAATTTAATGGAAGAACGAACATCTGACCGTCTGTACAAAATAATTAATTATTGTTTCTTCATGTTACACCATAACTTTACTTTGTTTGAAAAAAAATCCACAGTTTTGTTTATTTCCAGGTTTAAATGGAAACAAAATAAAATCCCAGATTGTCATGCTAATCTCAGACTTTTTTACCTCATTGCAAGCTAAAGAATGTGTTTTTGTGTTCTAGAGACGTTTTAATAGTCACTGATTAAATGGAATCATAATAGTGCATTAGTCCCACTATATTTTTAAGCCTACATATGAAATGATATCTCTGTGTTTCATCCATTAGTGAAGAAAGTCAAGTTTAAATGAGCATTATGGAAATTGTTGTGATTTTCGTTTTTTTTTATTTTTGTGGAGAAATAGGCAGGTCTGCTCTTTATTCTGCCTTTTCACCTGTCATGACATTCCAGCCAACTATTTCCAAATACTGTAATATATGTGTGAATCTGCTAATGCATTTCTCTGATGTGCTGCCAACAGTTTTTTGGCTTTCTAGGCCACTATTAAAGGTGCAAATGGATCTTGTTCCACAAAGCACTCTGTCCTCTGCCTCTGACATTTTAAAAACTTGAAGTTGCATTTCACTATCACAATATGTTTGGATAACTGAACATGAATTGTGAAGCAAATGCATGCTTTCAAATAATACAGTAAAGAGGCTGGGGCTAGCTGTCACGTTTCAGTGTGTAGGCTACGCTGATTTCAGATATCAGCTGTGGATGCTTTTTGTTTTTCCTGTCATCTGCAGCTTTTCAATTGAATACTCCAGATGTGGCTATAGCAGCACAAGCAGGAAGTAGAGTTTGTGTAAATTCACTCGTTTCAAAGGTGAGATGTCAAGCGTCTAAGTTTGACTTGATGAGCAGGTCTTAGTTCATGTATTTGTATGAAGGACAGGGTTGAAGGGAGAGAGATTACACGGACAAAAATTGATTACATTTTTACAGATTCTCTTCATTGATAAGCAGGTTGAAATCTGAGCATGGGGATTTAAGAATCAAATCAATCATTTGATTTTTTTAAACAGGCATCAAAACGAAAAATCCTACAAACCCAAGCAAACGAAACAAAAACAAATTTGCATTATGTACGTTCATTTTTGCTCTTCTCCAGGTTTACTACTAAATCCACATTTGTCATCAGCTCTAAATAAAACTCAGGTGTATATTCAGTCCAGATGTGTGTCCCCTTTACAGACATTACCATCTGTGATTCTGTCTATCCATCTGTCTATCTATCAGTCTAACTATCATCCATCCATCCGACAGATCTATGATATCAGAAAGCATTTGATTTCACTTATACAGAAGGTCGTGCTGCTCCATGTTTACCTTTAGTTTTGGTACAAGTTCATTCACTCATCCTCTTCCTTTACTGTATAGCATGCAGATTATGGCTTTAGATGGTTGTGCATGCCGACAGATGACGGCTGTTTCTCTGAAGTTGAATTTCGGCCCCACCAAGTAAGGCAAAAGACCTCAGTGAGCTGTTACAGTTTTTTTTATTCGCTTTGGTACTATTTTCACAAGTAAGGTGTACATTTTCAAAACTCTTAGTACAAAAATCCAAACTGATCACACTTGTAACGCAGCTAGTCATTCTTTCAAAACCTGATGTAATGCTTTCAGTCAGTTGCACATGTTTTCAGTCCACATAATCATTATTTCAAACACAAGATTATTGTAATATGTAATGAGAACATTTGGTTTAATCACTGAAACACAACAATATGATCTTCTTTCAGTTTAGTACTTTTAACAATCAGTTCATCCAACAGCAAACAATGCAAGATACATGTTTCAAATCGGCCTTAGAAGTGCTGAAATGAATATGCTACAGTACTATAAAAGACAGATTACACAGTTTTACTGTAACATTAGGCAATACACTTACAGTACCCAACATTTACATAATCTATAATTTCCAAATATCCATCATATATGTAGGCCTAATCAAATGAAGGATCAATGAAGACATCCTTTACAATCATTTAGGCAAATTATAGTTTTTATTTTTCAGATATAATTGTAATATAGGTATACTTTCTATAATGAAATGTAACTAAAGAAGAACAAAACATAACATTTAGTGCACACATTACAGTACATAGTGGCCAATTGTGGTCACACTGTGAAAAAAATTGTGAAAAAATAAAAAAAATAAAATTAGCTATAACGAGTATTCATCATGTGTGGTTACTGGTTACATGCAATTTAAATAGAATACAAACACACATTTTATTTCTGTAGTTCTAAAAAATCCATATACTGTATATTGCTGAAATGAAAATCTATAGGTTTACCAAATGATTAATTGATTAACCATTAAGATCTGTTGGATTAAATAATAGACAAAAGTATTAAACTGAACAAAAAGAGATGCAAATCAAAAGTTTGATAGTAAGAACTTTATGAAAGGCGGTTACTGTGAATGAAACAATAATGTAGATGTAACACTTATTTTGTGTTGTGAAAAGGATACTTTGTGATTGTGTGAATTGTACTAACACAGTTGAAAACATGATGAAATGTTTGAAAAAAGTGCACTTTTGATGATCTGTTGTGATATTAGCACTAAGAGTTTTGAAAATGTACACCTTACTTGTGAAAATAGTACCAAAGCGAATAAAAAAAACTGTAAATGTATTTTTGCATCCCAGTTGCGACAAGGAATTTTCATCCAGATCATCAAAACAATCAGTCATCCGATCATCCGACCTCTGAAGTGGTGAATATCAACATCTCTCTCTCTGATAATGCATGCATGCATTCTGTCTTTCTGATTTTCTCCCTATTTCCATCTTTTCATTGCTGTTCATGTAATGTATACCTTCCTTATAAAACCATCAGCCAATAATGCAAATTAACACATAATGACATTTCATTTATATATGCATGTAAGACAATAACTTAAACACACTAAGTTAAACACACTAAGTGCCAAAGATGTTTTTCAAATCCTCTCAGCCTGTAGCCACTGAACTTACATAACTGGATGTAAAGCCATTATTACCATAATCCTATAAATCTGCATTGCTTATAATAACTGGATTTTTGGGCTTTCTTCTAAACTTAATGGGTTTGTGGCTGTATAATATAATAATATAAATAAATTTTATAGCCTATTTATATTTTGTATATTTAACATTTGTTATATAAATTTCAATTATATATACTTTCCTTTCAAGCTCATGCCAGGATGTGTGCTTTAAAGAGTATGAAAATGAATGAGAGGAGTGCAATGGCTGGGTATTTGAGTAGCTACGTATATATGTGTGGAGTTGTTTCCCCTCTGAGAAATAATTATAAGAGGCTTTTATCTACAGTATATGTATATAAAAATATGTATGCATTAGCATTCATTAGACTTTCATCAGTGAAAAAGCTCTCCTAGAAAAATATAAATAAAATATTTCATTCCTTTCCAACAGTTGAAAATGAATAAAAATGTCAGTTTATTTGGAGACAGCAGAGAGAAAAACATGTTTTTATTGGCTCTAAGATCATTTTTGGCTGATGGAAAAAGAGCAAAGGTTGTGTGAATTTATAAGACTAACTAAAATAGGAAGGGCAGCAACTGGCCAATGCTTGCGTAAATGACAGGACTTTGCATCTGTGACCTGAATCCCCTAAGCATGTGCAGAAATATGCATCATTTCACAGTGTGCAGCCAAGTGTTGTTTCCGTTTTATCAGCAGCTGGACGGACATGAAGTTTCAGTGATGCAGAATATTTTATGATTAAAGAGATATTCACTCAGGATTAAATAAATATAAAAATCCTCTCACTTTATAACATTTTTTCCAGAAAATTTCGAAAGAAGTTTCACAGACATTTGACAAACAGAATAATGAGTAATGAGTCCCTGAACAGAGCTTCACGTGGAGCACAAGTGGACGATGTTCAATATAGGTGTAAACGGGTAAGTGGTTTTGAGGTTGTCCACTTTCGACCACTTTGAGGAAGTTGAAAAAGCATTTGACAGGATTGCTTTCGTAAACACTCATGTGGTGGAAATAAGTAATAGGCTATTTTGTACCCAAGTTTTGAGCCTACCTGAAAAACGTTGGGTTTTAATGGGCGACTCGCACTGAAGACTTGGAAGTAAACGCCCACTGTTGTGAGTGGATAACAGTTTGCATATTATAATGAGTTTCAATTCACCCGTTGATGCACTTGGGGGAAATTGTTTTGAAAAAGTCCAATGTTGTAAAATGGAACGTAATTAAAAATAAATTTTAGCAATACAGTCCTATTGGAATCCAGAGGAAACATATGCAGCGACTGTCTTCTTCCACAATATGGGGCAAGTTGTCACATTTCACTTCCACTCTTTCAGGTTAAATCAAGAAAAATGTAAACACTGTATTAATCAAACAAAACCGACATATGGTAAATTAATGCGGGAAAAAAATCTCTAGATACTTAGTAGATTTAAACAAATTAACAAAGTCAAAATGTGTCGCGTTGTGCCCCGCTCTCCCCCTAATGCATAAACATTATGGGAAGCACACTAGCCAAACGGGATTTAGGCTAATCTTTGCTGGCTGTGGACACAAGTTTGGTTTGAAGATGAAAAAGGCATCAAGCACAATGTTCTCTCACCATTCCTGATTTCTATTTGGCGTAGACTAGCGGCTATAAGAGCATAAACGAAGCTTCTGCTCTCCATGAGTTTTTGCATTATGCAGAGTTTAGTTCAAGGACTGTTTAAACTTAAATAGCGTTAAATTACATTAAAATAAGTTCTTGATGATTTAATTGCAACCAATTTCTTCAAATCAAAATGCAATTTAATTTCTGATTAGGCTTAAATCTGGCCTGAGCTTGCTAGGCTACACAGTTCCCATAGACATACACTAGACCTCACCTTGGCTACAGCAGTTCATTGGAACGAATGCGTCAATAGAGCCGCCATCTTGAAACAGGGGAGCCCCTCCACTTTAATGCATCAGCGCCAATGTAGTAGACACAGGTCTAACGGAAATAAAATCACCATAAATCATCATGAATGTGATTTTTCTTGTTTTTTTGGCTTGTTCCAACGGTCAGACATGTATTTATCATTGATTCCAGAAAGATTTTTTTTTTTTTAAACATTATTCCTAGTTCAGATTTCATCAGTGAACATCATACGCTGCACAAAAGTCCGCCACCATCAATGAATTCGACGTAAAGGCAGAGATAGCATCGTTACCTAGCTACTTCCTATGACAAGACCCCTGTTCCAAGATGGCGGCGGTTTTGACGCATGCTGAGAACCCCAAGGTGAGGTCTAGTGTGTATATCTATGCATAGTTCCCACATGACGTCACAACATACGGGCATTTGCCGACCCGGCGCCATTGCTGAGGGCAAAACATTAGAAGAAGCGTTCAACGAAGTGAAATGAGTTTCGTGCTAAAAAGTTAAAATCGTGCCGGAGGTTCAGTTAAATCGGGATTTTATAGTATACCCGTCATTAGACTCCATGAATGTGAGAAGACTAAGCTTTTATCAGAACAACGACGTAGGTAACTTATGGCTGGTGAGGTTAAACAGGAAAGAAACTCGCTCAAACTAGCACGCAAGAAGTTGTGCATGTTGTTATGGCTTTTTAATGAACAGATGGTCTAGCATCATGCTACTTCGCTATGATGACAAACGTCACCAAACCAACCCTCGGCAATCTGATTGAGCCAGTGATTGATTTCCAGGCTCGGAATTGCTCACATAAACAACTGGCCAGATAAAGGTAACGTTACACATGAAAATACTCTGTATCTGAGGCAACGCTGCATAATCTGCATAATCTCTCTGTCTTGTTTTAATAGTCTCTTTATAATCTTTTTCACTTTATCTCTTCATGATTTGCATAACATTATAAACAGATATAAATATTTGTTTGTAAAACGACATTCTTTGTAAACTTTGTAAACACCTATGGTAAACAAACAAACATAGCAACTTATCCCCTAAAAGATGGCGTCTCCGGGGAGGTCACGTGACATTAATTTGCCTGTGGGAACTATGTAACTTATAGAATTAGAATTTCACTAACATTAAAATTTCAACCGTAAATTCTAATTTAAATTGTAATATTGTAAATTGTATAGGCTATTACTATTGTAATACAATAGCTGTATGTCATTGTTTTTTAAATATAACTTTGTTTTAAAATAGAAATTTTAGATCATGTTACAATTAATTAATGGCAAGTAGCTTAATTAATATTAAATTATTTTATGGTTCTCTAATCATTACTTACGTATTGTTATTGTAATTAATTATATGAATTTATTGGAAATATAATGATTACATTAATGACATTGATATGATTATGGACACTGTAAAGGATTATATTGGAGTCCATCAATAGCATGATGACGTGCTTATTATTAACACATGTTTGCTTGATTGACAGATCTGTCACATGGAGGGGCGGAGCTTTGCTGAATAGAACTGTCCGTTATGGATTTCTGAGGAGAGAGAGAGAGAGAGCACCTCAACTGCTGAAGCGTTTAGTAACAGACGGAAACAACACGGTGCAGTCTGTGGTTTACAAACGTGGATTATGGAGAAGTTGGCAACTCAATTTTAAAATAATTTCAAGACGGGAGAAAAGTGCACACATCCCTCGGGATGGTTGAAGAATCACAGCAAGGTAAGCATTTGTTTTTCAGTAAATATCATTGAGCGTTTTACGTGGGTTTGTTAATGATAGCCTAAGTTGTACACATGTTGCGTCTGTTGTAGTTTATTTATTTGCTTGCAATCGTGTGTAGGTGAGGACTGAATAATATGCTGTGAAACAAAATCCCTAAACAATTTTAAAAGTTGCAAATGAATTATTTTGTTTTGTTTTTTTGTATTTAGTTTTTTAAATGAGCTATACAGTTTCCTGTACAATGGCACGTTGAATATAGTGTTCTTCGTTGTAATTTCTGTTGAATTGGCCAATAAATAGTGCATGTTTAGTAATTTAGGAGAATTATAAATCTGATTGGATGACTGACAGCTTTGGTTTGGTAACAGATGGATCCCCAGACATTCTGTTTTGAGATTCCCAATACATTGCATTGCAATTAGTGATAAATATATTTTGGGGTAAGACATCGACATTAAATGCACAACATGTTTTATGCCTTAATGTTCTTGAAATATTCTCTATTTCAACTTTGGTAAGAGCATTAGATGCTGCCTGACTAGCCATTGCATCAGACAGATGTGCACTGCTATAGCAACCCAGTCTGATTACTGCAACAAAGGAATGGTTATCCTTCTTATAGCAAGTCACACTTCTCATGTTAGGTCATTTCACATTTGACTTAAAAAAAAAAGAATGGCTCTCAAAAACTGACTACAGCATTGAAATGATGGTTGCATGCATCAGGTAACCAACTAACTTAAGTCTATTTTTAGAAATTGCATTGTTTTTAGATAACCTAACTGTGGGAGGAGATTGCTGGTTTAGTAACACATTTACAATGAAGTGGCAGGATGCAGCATCATCTCTGATCTCACGGGAGATGTATTCAAAAGCTGTGTGTCACCAGAGTATAGTGAATGCTCATTATAAGCCTACTGTTTGTTATCCATAAATCCACTAGAAGAGTTAAAGTAAGTAACAGTGTGTTGATTGGAAACTCGGTTCTTTACTGTGTGCTTTTCAGTTGGTTTTAGATGACTGAATGAATCAGTGTTTTCAGTAGGCTATAAAGGTTTCGTTTGAAGGCTTTGACAGGTATTCTTTGCCACTCTGCCAAGTAATGTCATTCTTTTTGACTTCACCATTCTGGGAAAACAATCCATATATTTGAAGTAAGTACCGGACTCACAAAATATGGGCACTGGGAAGCAGTTATTGTGAAGATTGTCTCTTGTACTAGTAATCAGTTCTGCTTTTCTCCTAAAATGCATGGTGGGAAAGGTCTCTACAAAAGCAATTGTGTTCATATAGCCTATTTCTTCAAACCCCCCTTCTAAAGAAAATGTAAACGTATTGACACTTGTCTTTGATTTGTTTATTCCCAAAATTAAGATTTTTACAATGTAAAATAAAATGCTAAAAAAAGTCAACATCTCAAGGACAGCCCTTAAGCAGTCAATGGGGACTTTAGGAGTGAATGGGTGTGTTCATGTTTACAGACACATAGATTACGTAAACAAAACATTTATCGCATTTAATCAATTTCACAGCACTAAAATAAATATAATAACCTCAAAATGCCAAACCAAATAATATATCTTTAAAATAACTTTTTTTTTTTTTCTGGACAATTGGGGTCAATCTCCTATAGATCAGTGGTCTTAAATGGTTTCCTTGAGGACCCAGATTTCTGCAGTTACTGCAAATCTTTGATATGATTCATTTTTAGAATTTAGAATTCATTTATAGTGTTTTTTTCTTTTGTTTTGTACAATTATCATTTGAACTGACAGGTAAATGTGTGCACTGAAACCCCTGCTGTTATAGTAATTAGCATTCTGAAGTGATTTACTGTGACAACTTGAAAATGATGGGGTTTTTTTTCGTGGTATAAACATCACAATATTGAAATAAGTTGCAAAAAACATTTTGTCATAGTATAACAGGTTTAACTTCTTATAACAAAAAATATCTAAATATTTAAATGCAAGTGTGTATAAGTGTTTATAAAGAATCATAAAGAACAAAATATAACCCTTTACAATAAGATCACATTACACTGTAAAAATGAATATGCTTTATCTCATCAAAAAAATTGTGGCAACAGATTACAAGCAATATTATTAATTAAATTTAAACAAATTAGTATTGAGTAATAATTAATCAAATTAATTCCAAAAGTTAACCATTTAAAATGAGTAAAGCTTACAACAACTAAAAAACATACATTTAAGTCACCATTATGGTGATCGTGTTTGTTTTAGGTTTGTTTTAAAATGACGGGTTTCTCCTTCAGTGATTCTGCTTGTTAACATCAGGTGTCTTCAATGTTGGCAATATAAAATAAATAGTTCTTAATTAATCTTTGACGTCTGTCTGTTAGTGAGATATTTTTGTTACTTTTTTTTAATGCAAACTTTACTAATTTTAAATGGTTAACTTTTAAGGAATGATTATTACTCTATTCTAATTTGTTAAATTTAATTAATAATATTGCTTGTAATCTGTTGCCACAATTCTATTGATTAGATAAAGCATATTCATTTTTACAGTGTAGTTAACGTCAGCTAATAATGCTGACGTTTTGCAAAATCCTTTTGCTAAATCCTTTTGCTGAATCATTAATCGTTAACAAGGAACATTATAACGTTACTTACGTTAGTAAAAAAAACAACAGATCATTGTTAATGGTAGCTAAGGGTTTGATTTTAATAATGTATTATTAATGCAGATACTAGCATTAACTAAGATTAATAAATGCTAGAAGTATTTGTCATTGTCAGTTTATTTTAACTATTGAATTAACTAATGTTTATTAATGGAGCCTTGTTGTAAAGTGTTACTGAATAATAATAAAGAAGAATCAAAACATTTCCAAATTTCAGTTTTTCCGTCCTAAATAGCCCGTTAAGTCGTAAAGTATTCAGTGTTCCTGTTTGCTTCAGAGTGTCTCTTTGACGTAGCATACAGCGGAGTGCTGCATTTTAACTGTTGATGGAACAATATTCTACAAATGCATTCAAAAAATCGGAATAATTCATAATAAATAACTATTCACAGTACTTTAAAGTGTCCACGATAACAGTACTGTGCATTATCGTGATATATTGCATTACCGTATATCGGCCGTATATATGTCTAGTGTAAGTATGACAGATGGATGTGCGAATATCACAAACACAAAATCACCATTTATTCCAGAACTATGTCCAATTAAATGACTTGAAAAGCAAAGAGAAGCCTTTGCTAAATCGTTAATGATAACTATTAACACAAGCATCAGTTACAGCACTGCTCTGTAATATCTCTGTAAACTAATCTACGGTAGTGAGATGTGTCTGATGTGGCACTAAATTGCACATCGTTAGATAACCTGTCATTGACCCTTGAAAATCGCTCTCAAGTTCCTGCTGAGGACCAGCTGAAAATGACGCGCTAGCAGGTCTGACTCATTTCTTAGCTCGATGGAGTTATTTCACCTCTATCTCAAAGGGATCAGGATTTTGAAGGATCATTTAGGTGTTTATTTGAAATCTTCCTGCTGCTGTCTTTCATTCTTTTGCTTTCACAAAGACATTTCGCATGGCGGTGCGCAGAGACTGAGCATGTGTTTATTACAGATTCGAAGGTGATCCAGTAGGCGATAAGAGATGGCAGGGTTTGTAGAGCTTAGTCTGAAGCGTCAGAAAATTGGCAGGAGGTTTTTGAATCGTAAAGCTGTTGGATGTGACTGCCTGCCCTCCAGCTTGTCTTAAACTGACTTCAAATACTTTTCTGTTTAAGCCTTTAAGTGATTTATTTTTTATTCTGCAGGAAAGTAATCGGACTCAGTAAGTCCCTAATGGAGAATGACACCTCCATCCCGTCGGGCTACGTCCCACATTACCTTCTTCGAGGGGATCCCTTCGCTTCCAAGCTGTCCAAGGAGGCAGACATAGTGGCGGCGTTCTACATCCTTGTCATTGGTAGGTGTACATGTGGAAGAGTTTTTTTGTGAGCGTCATTTGAATTGTTATTGACAAGATCCGTGATAACTTTGAATTTGAATATTTAAATTAAGTTTTAGCAGAATGTCTGGAATTTTTAGAGGCGATTTTGAATGTTTTTAAAGTAAGTTTCTTATGTTCACCAAAGCTGCAATCATTGGATTAAAAAAAAACAGTAATATTTTGAAATATGATTACAGTTTAAAGAAACTGTTTTCTATTTTAATATATTTTAAAATGTAATTAATTCCTGTGATGCAAAGCTGAATTTTCAGCATCATTACTCCATTGATCCTTCTTCATTCGTATATGCTTATTTGCCCAAGAAACATTTATCATTATTATTATTATATCAATGTTTTTTCAGGATTATTTGATGAATAGAAAGTGAAACAGAAAGCTTTTGCAACATTATACTCTGCCCTTCAAAAGTTTTAGGTCAGCAATACTTTTATTCAGCAAGAATGCATTAGATTTATCAAACGTTACAGTAAAGATGTTACAAAAGATGTTTAAAATAACTGTTTTCTACATTGATATCAATTATGAATGTTTTTTGAGGCCAGTTGTTCAAAACATTTAATCTGGATCAAAATGATCCGGATTTGGAAATCCCATTTTTTTCCTATCCAGGATCAGGTAATCCGTCTTACTGTTATGCCGTTTTTTCAAAGCAACATTGGACTGGATCACGCTGATCCAGATACACAGTTTTCAAGATTCCCAAATCTGGATAACCAGTGTGCGAAATGGGACACCATTTCACAATGTGGGCTACCAGCTATGTAAAGAACAGGTAGAAGAGCCAACATGGGGTCACTGTAAGTGTTTCTTATTTTGAGAAAAAACACAAAAATAACAAACATCCACTTCTAATCATAATTTATTTTATGACCCACATCTGAACCACAACAAAATAAACAACAAACATACATTAACAAATACATTGTGGACATTTTGAAAACGTCTTAAAAAATGATGAATGACCAAAAATGAATATATTATTTTTTTGTTTGTTATTGAAATCTGTTTGGGGGATTATTTCATGGGGACAAGATAATTTTTATTTTATTTTTACTTTACTATACTGAATAGCTTAATTGTTAGCCTATGTCTACTTTATTACTGTTACAACGGTTACACAAGTCAAGTGCAAAATATAAATATAAGTATATACACTAAATGATACAAATGGATTATTTGACCAATTTTAAAGTTTTACTACATTTTCTTCCTGAAATCCACCTTGAAATCCTACCCCCTGTTGGGATCAGGATAATCCTGTTTTTTTGGATCAAAGTTATCCACTGACAAGTGGGACAACACAAACTGAAGGTTTGATCCAGATTAAAAAAACTAGGATTGGATTCCCTGATCTAATCTGATTTCAGATTCCTTCTTTCCCTTTTGAACAACCCATTTTCAAGATTTGATCCAATCCGAATTACCCAAATCCGATCAGCTTACCTTTGAACAACTGACTTGAGTAATGATGCAAAAAATGCAGCTTTGCATTAATTGCATAAATTACTAAAAAAAACATATGCAAATATAAAACGGGTATTTTAATTGTCAGATTTATTGTCTTAATTTTGCCTGCACGTCTAAAAGCTTTGCATAAGAATCAAATTTTAACTTATGAATGATATAATTGAATGTAGAGTTAAGGAGACAACAATTCTGCTTCTTTTTCTTTATGAATTGATGGATTTCACGTGACCATTCACTGAGAAACCAAAACAAAAAATCTCATTATTGCGTATTTTAATGATAATCTTGTATGTTTGTGCACCTTTAACTCTCAAATATTCATTAGTGTATCTGAAGAATGAATGCCTATGAAAAATGAATGTGCCCGGGGAGCGATTGTGTGAACAGTGTGAACGTAACCAAAGTGTTATGAACAGGGCCGTTACTTGGGTATACAGGGACCGGGTGCAGGTTGCTATTGTGGTTGAAATCTCAGGGGGGACCCCCGAAAGCTGTAGCTTCTCTAGTGACAGCCCTGGTTATGAATGTAGGATTTGCTTTCTTGTATTTAATTCCTAAATGAAATGTTAATGAAGCAGAAGGCTAAACAACGTGTTGAATTTATAAGCAAAAACCAAAAAGTGGTTTGCATAAAAACCTGCCTTCCCCTTAATGTGCAAAGCCTGACAGATACCGTATTTCCATGCTCTTGTCACTGAGGATGTCTTGTTCAATCCACTCATGCTGTCATTGAGATGCCATCCTCTGTCATATAGAAGAGTTTGCGTTGAGCGTTGTCATCTAGTGCATTTTAATAGAACTAAGATGTGACATATTGGGGATATTGTGGCTCCTCTGTACATTTTTCAGGTCAGTTTCTCTGCAGGCACATGTATAAGTATTGGTAACATTTAGACCACCATCGCAGCAGAAAAGAAATTGTTTTAGTTGATCGCTTTTCAAGAAAATTTAAATTATAAATAATAAAAAGAAATAATGAAACAAGGCTGCATATTCTTTTGAACTTATATTAAATATCTCTCCAAATCAGGATGAACATTTTCAACATTTTGTCCTTTTTTTAATTGTTTGTAATACCGACATGACCTCTAGCTATGTCCGTTCTGCATAGTATTGGATTTATATATAATTGAGATGTTTTGCCAAGTGGATTTGTCTTTATTCAATACGCTTTTTAAAAATATAATTTGAAAGTTATTTTTGTTCAGCACACCATTATTTATTCCATTAGTAACTATGGTATCAAGGAGATGCTCAAAAGGATGTTTCCTCTTTCATGGGGACATTGTGTCTTATTTGACCTGAAAATTGGTCTGGTCTGGTCATTGGTCTGTGATTCAATCCAAAGATTGAATCAATAGTTCTTCCTCACTGCAATTTACAAGTCTGTTCTCCTTCACTCATGTTAAGGGAACAGTCTGAAGGTGTTTCATAAACATTTAATCACAAACACATTCAAATCAACAAATGTCATGACTGCAGTTACAGTATGCTCAGTTCAATTTTTAGTTCACATTTGGTATGTAACAACAACAGTGTTTTCATTTATGGATGGACTTTCTCTTTAAGAACTAAAACTGGAGAAACAATGCATCTGTTAGGAATATTAATGTGCGTGATCCGTTCACATTGATTCATGATCATCTGAGAGTGAAAGAGTTCATTGAATAGTCACATGAAGTCAAGTGTCTTTGAAATGGTGCATTCATCAGCTGACGCAACAGGCCAGGATTTGAAATTATGTGGAGCACACGCTTTGGAAATCTGATGTTCAAAATGTGTTCATGGACATTATGAATCGAACATTCTGTAAGATTTATGATGAGTAATTCATGTTTTATGTAATCAAAATTTATATGACACTTTCAATATTTACAGCATATAATCTAGGTCCTAAAGAGAGGACAAAACGAATAACACGAGTGAAATCTTTGTGTTGTTTCAATGTATGTGGCTGTAAGCTGGAAGACTAATTGTCACACTGCTCTTTCATTATGGTGAATTGAAATCCTTTTTCATCCTTTCACTAAGAAATGGGATATGAAGAGTTGAGATGCAAAAGCCTCTAAATGCCATTTGAAATTTTCTTCTAAAATAACCATTTTTATCAAGCTTGTATATTTAAGTTCAGTAATTTCACTTAAATGACAATTAATAGGTAATCTTCATTGCCATTTAAGTGAAATTACTGAACTTAAATATACAAGCTTGATAAAAATGATCATTTTAGAAGAAAATTTCAAATGGCACTTAGAGGCTTTTGCATCTGAACTCTTCATATCCAGTTACCTTTTTGACTCACATTAGTTCTCTACAAATAACAGAAATGTTATATAAGGAGTCTTAATGTGCTGTCTTTGTATTTCAACAAATACACAACCCCAACACTATATAATAAGGCTTCATTAAGGTCCAAGACTTTCTTGAGGCAATTTTAAACACATCATCTGGTCAAACACATAGTATTACTGTTTGTCTTATGTGTTAACAGGTGTCTTGTCAGCCACTGGAAATGGTTATGTCATATACCAGACCATCAAACGCAAGACCAAGTTAAAGCCGCCAGAATTCATGACGCTGAATCTAGCTGTATTCGACTTTGGCATATCAGGTAAGTTTAAATGACTTGATATTATGCTGCTGATGTTATCTTCATCTGTCAGATTATGTATCATATAGCCAATCTGAAAGGATATCTCTGTTGTAGGCAAATATACGATTTCTTTTGGTCGTGTGTTTATAAAATACAGCTTTCAGTGTATAGTTTAGCATTATATTTTGGAGTCGAGTAAGTTTATTCAGCTCTCCCTCTTACGACACTGTCTTTCTGGCTTATTTTTGTGCTGTTGTTGAAATGCACTTGTATAAATCATACAGAGTATTTTAAGGCCCTGAGGTTACAAAAGAGAACAAAAGATTCCTGCCATGATGACCTGGAAAGAATCTCTTTTCATTCATCTTCCATCTTCCTTTGTCATGATTTTTTCAGTGTTCTTTAGTGTTCAGTGCATAACATGAACACAAAGTTTGTATCTTTTGTTACACTATATAACCTGCTGTAGCTACACAGTATACATAAGCACTTAAGCCTAGTAGACTAAGCACATTTCACACTAAATTATTTTCACAAAACATGAAATAAAGTAGGCTATGCGTTACAATTTGTGTAAAATATCATTTGTTTCAAACAATACATTACTACAGTAAATCAATTATGATTACTCAGTTTAGATCGAAGTTTTATTTTAAACAGTTAACAGAAAACACACAACAAGATTGGTGAAATGTCCAGTGACTCCCCTGAAATTTCCAAGGGGTTAATCCATTAGCCGGAAGTTGAAGCCTCGTTGGAGCCGCCATTAGCAGAACTTTACCTTCAGTTAGCTTTCCATTGACTCCAATTTATTTTGACGTCACTTTGACAGCGAATAACTTTATATTTGAGGTGTCCAAAGACTTCATTTGTCCATTATTTATTTCTTAAGAAACACGACAATGTATAAAAGGCTCCATTACTTTGTATCTTACGTTACGGTCCTGTAGAAGCCGTTTTTGTAAAAATAGGCTAAAGATTGCGTCATAACCACGGGACTTTCTGTCACACAATAGAGACATAACCGTATAGACCGGAGGAAAAGCTCGCAGGCAATCTTTTACTGTCTATGAGGCAATCGGGGGGACATGGAGGCACAAAGTCAAGAGAGAAGCCCATAGATAGAGAGTCCATAAAATCAATCGTACAAAATATTTCACCAACGTTTTTGAGGAATTAGGTGTTTCAGATTTGTCTTGGCACAGCTACTAGAAGATTTACAACTGTCATACATTTACATTTATTCATTTAGCTGATGCTTTTATCCAAAGCGACTTATAATTGGTATGTCAGAGGTCGCACACCACTGGAGCAACTAGGGGTTAAGTGTCTTGCTCAGGGACACATTGGTGTCTCACAGTGGGTTCAAACCTGGGTCTCTCACACCAAAGGCATTTGTCTTATCCTCTGCGCCATCACCACACTAGACTGTCGTCAAGCTCAGTTTGAGCCTGTGCAGTCGCTCAGACATCAGACAGGAAGTGCAATAATCGGGCTTCAATCTTCTCCATTAAAATCAATGGGGTAACTGTGTCCATTTATTTTACTGCTTATAGAGATTTCCTCTCCTCAAACAAATTTGTGTCCATTTTTGTACTCTAGCCCAACCTAGTGGATGTTTAGTGTGGCTGGAGGGACGGTTGAGGCCCCTGAAAATAATTTCAATATTATCACCCACAATAGTTCACCCCCAAAATGAAAAATGTATCATCATTTACTCACCCGACAGCTGACGGCATTGACTTCAATAGTATTTTTTTTACTTTTTAATATTTTTTTCCCTACTATGGAAGTCAATGGGGGTGCGATCAACAAAATTTTAATTTTAGGGAAAGCGATCCCTTTAAAGAATGAATCCCTTATATACTATATTTATATAAAGAGCTCACTTTCTAAGATTTACAGAACAAATGACTGCCTGTGTAGTTTACAAAGTTAATTCCAGTTAATTAAATGTGGACTGTGTAATTTTTGAGCTACTGACAGAAACAATTGTTTTCAAATGGGTTTCTCTCTGCCTGATATTGCTTTGTGGACTGGAGGGTTCTGCCCCAAAATTCATGGCAGTGATGCGATTTCGGGACACTCAAACAAAATGTTAAATTATTACTCAGTTTGTTGAGTCTACAAATGGCTTACTTATAGTTGTCTCTGCATATTATTCAGCATAGGAGAAAGTAATTTAACCAAGTACAAGAGAATTGATCAAAATATGATTTATCATTTTATATGCTTGAGAATCACCCTTGTCAGTCAAAATGTTTACAGTAAGTTCGGCATTGGTAGCATTTTGGATACAAATTATATATTTTTTTCAGTGTACCATCAGAAGTTCAAATTGATTTAGCTCTGTCCAAAATGCAATTCTCGTCTTGTCGCCTATTAGCCTGGATGGCGACGCTGGATTTGAGCATAATGAAGCTTTTGTTTTCTGGGAGTCATGCACATGGCAGACTGCTTTAGTGCGTCACATTTACGCAGACCTGGGGTCAGTGTGCTTTTGGCTTCTCTTCCTATAAAGGTCTGCCGTGAGTCTTAATTTGCATCTCTGAAATGGCTACCGTCAACTGTTTGGTGGTTACTCATATTCTTTCAAATATTTTCTTTTGTGTTTAGCAAAAGAAAGAAATTTGTGAACACTTTCCTTAAAGCCTTTATAGATAATACATTATAAAAGTATTTTATGCCTTATAATGCATGGTGTGGCGTTTTCGAGATGGTGAGAGCTTCACTGTCACAGTTCTGCCCCCCTCGTCTAGGGTTTTCTCTTCGTTTAGTGACAGAGCTGTGAAACACCCGGTTTGTCATGTGTTTGTGCTAAGTTCCTTGCCCTGCCGATGCCGCCTGTCGAGCCTGAGACTGTTCAGGTCACGTCTGCCGATCCGGAGACTGTTCACATCACGTCTGTCGAGCCAGCGTCTCCAGACAAGATGGCCGCAGTCAAGCCAGTGTCTGTTTCTGTTCCTGTGCCATGGCTGTCCGAGGGATCTTGTTCTTTCGTTATTGGTTAATTTTCCCCACCTGCCTGCCTCGTTAACTTAAGTTTGTTCAGAGCAGATCCTCCCTATACGCTCTCTACGCAAGCTGCGTGGGGCCCCCGCAAATTACTCAAGGCCCCGCCTCCCCCTCGTGTCAAAGTGCGTCAATCAAAGTTTACAACATCGATGAGATAATTAAGCGGAACTCTGGTCATGAAAAGAGAGACTGAGAGAAAAACACCATGTGAGTGAATTGCGGGAACAGCGATCAGGCAGAGTTTGATGTCGGCACAGAACAGGAAAGTTAAGTTGATGTGCATCTCTCTCTATCTGTTTGTCTAACCAGCCCAATCCCATGAAAGCACATATCTATACCACAAATTTCTTGTGTCATTTATACACCTAAAATAGTTTTTGCGTGCATATGATAGGCCTATGTACAGTTTTTGCGTGCACACTTTTTGGCATGTAATATGCACACACTCCACACCCCTAAAAACAACCCCAAGAGATTTACAGTGTGTAGCATATGCACTCAAAAACAATTTTGGGAGTATAAACAGCACAAGAAATTTAATTTGTGGTAGGCCTATAGATGCGCACTTTCATGAGATTACGTTTGATAATACAATCAATGGGCAATGGTGTTTGTTTATATACTGCAACTTACTTTCCAGTAAAATATCTATGGGGACCAGTTACCAGTACAATATGGGCGTGATGGCACTCCTCCTCCATTTGGCGCTCTACTTTTCAAACAAGACAATGGTTATCTAGTCTCCCAGTCAGTTTAGTTACAACTATGCAATAAAGATGGAAAGAAATCTATTGACATAGACTATGTTGCATTTAAAATGTTGATTGGCTGGACACACTGGTCAATATGGATGCACATCCCTCAGTAAATAACAATCAACTATCAATTATTGCTTTTATCATTTAAAACACAGTGACATGCAATGGCAAGCCATTTGAGCTTTTATTCATTCAGAGGATGCATTTTTGAAATCAATAATTAAATTTGTACTATTTTAAAATGTGAAATCTTGATATTAATATAAAAGATGTCTATTTCTGATATCAGGAATTACATTTTCATTAGTATTAACTAAATGAGGGAGGATTGTAGTGGGAGAACTGGGGTGACTGTGTTACACATGGTTTACATGGCTCATGGGTCAGGTAGGATGACCCCTTAACAGATTTTTGCTTAAGGCCCCAGAGAGGTCAGGATCGACTCGACTGTTTGTTCCCCTATTTTTTTAATCACCCTGTGTTTGCAGCCCTGTGCTGGTTCGTTGTCCATATTTCCTTTGTGTGTTCTGTGTCTGCCTGACTTCTCTCTTGGTTTTTACCACTACGGGGTTGTGTTTTGGTTTTGTTCACTTAATAAATATCCTTGCCTTCACTTGTATCCACCACGCTTTCTGTTTTCCCCATTCCGTGACATTCACATCCGCGACTAACTTAGACTTGATAGAGCTTTCTGACTTGACAGAGCTTCACGAGTTACGACTTGACAGGAACTTGACGTGACTTGACACGCTCTTGAATGTACTTTATTAGACAGGTGAGCAAATGTACATAAAACAAATCAATGTTAAATAGTTCATCATGATGTTAATGTTAGAGTCTGATCAGTTTGTTATTCTAATGTTGATCTAGCTTACTCTAGTCTCATATAGCAAACAAACTAACACATAGAATAACATTATAATTTTCAACACACTCAAATGCTGTTTATAGTGTAACGTTAGACCAAATGAAACAGCGCTGCGTTACCTCACAAGTTAAATTTGTCAAATAAACTGAACTGTGTGAGTCCTAATTCAGCACTTGCAGGTAGTTTGGTAGAATTAAATTCCCGACTCACCACTTTTCACTCATCCATAAACAGTATTAGATCCATCAGCATGATGGCAAGTCCCATCATTCCACTTATCACTGCGTCATCAACCTACGCCTTTGTTAGTTATTGTAAGAAGTTAGCAACCCTCTTTCCTAATGGGGGAATATAAATATTTTTTTTAAAGTAAAGTGTTACGAGAAATTTATGTAGGTTTGGATCAATTTGAGGGTGAACAGATCACAGTGATCCGAAACCTGGATACTGCCGATTCTCAGGCAGTTTTGGTTGTTCCCAGTTTCTCTAAAATTCCTGCTAACAAATATATGTTTTAAGGATGTTTGCCGACGTTCCTGTTAAGTTGTGAAAAATGTGTTTCTGAATGTTCTCAGAACGGTCATAACGTGTTTTTTGTTGTTGTTTTTTTTTAGTTTTATTTATTTATTTTTTTATTTTATTTTTTTGGTTATGTAAATATTGGTGAAAACATTAATTGTAATGTTTTCTCTATTTTATCATTTATTATTGGAACTTTACTTTTGAATGTTCTCTGAGTCTGAACCATCTGAAAAAGTAATAAGTAGTCCAACTAATATGTCCAACTAATATGTTCCAGAAAATGTTCCATGAATGATGTACAAGTAACGTTCTCTGTGCTAATGTTTTGATAAAGTTATTAAATACCAGATAACTTTGAACAACAAATCTATTATTTTTACTGGAAAAAATTTGAGAGGAACTTGCCAGAATTTTAGCCAAAATTCTGAGAAAGTTCCTGGGAATGCCATCTGAGAGCACATGTTCTTTTGTCTCAAGTCTTGTTTGACATAAGCTTGTTTTTATGTTTTGGTCAGTCACTGGAAAGCCGTTCTTCATAGTGTCGAGTTTTTCGCACCGCTGGCTGTTCGGATGGCAGGGCTGCCGCTACTATGGCTGGGCCGGCTTTTTCTTCGGATGTGGAAGTCTCATTACCATGACGATTGTCAGCTTAGACCGATACTTGAAAATCTGCCATTTAAGATATGGTAATTAAGTCCATCTATCTATCTATCTGTCTATCCTGTCTTTCTGTCTACAGTATCTGTCTGATTAACATGAATTTATGAATTTACCATCAGGTACATGGTTCAAACGGCATCATGCGTTTCTCTGTCTGGTTTTCACGTGGTTATACGCTGCCTTCTGGGCCACCATGCCAGTGGTGGGCTGGGGAAACTACGCACCTGAGCCATTTGGTACGTCCTGCACACTGGACTGGTGGCTGGCCCAGGCCTCTGTGTCTGGCCAGAGCTTTGTTATGTGCATGCTCATCTTCTGCCTCGTCCTCCCCACTGGCGTCATCGTCTTCTCCTATGTCATGATCATCTTCAAGGTGAAAGCCTCAGCCAAAGAAGTCTCTCATTTTGACACACAGAATAAGAACAAGCACCACCTGGAGATGAAGCTGACTAAGGTTTGTGTGTTTTATTACAGTTATTCTCAGTCGCTTTGGTACAGTTTTTCCTCGTCCTCGACATTTGTAAAACAGTAAGTGCATTTTTTCAAAACAATTCGTACAAGTAGCAAACCACCATGGATATTGTTCAAAATCCTTAGTTCATCTCTCAAAAGTAAATATCTGTGTCAATGAACATGTCAGTGCCATCAGAATGACAAATCCTTGTGTCATTGTGTACGGATAAGACAAATTGTTTAGTCATGTTGTCAATATAACTGTACTCTGGGGGATGTTCTGATGTAAACTATTGCAACAGTTTTGATGACAGTTACTGTATTGAATTGTACAAATTTGCGCTTCTTCTGTAAGCCATATATCCATTTCAAAAGTACAAATTTACACACCGAGTTATTGATTGAAAGAGACTGGATAGGATTCACAGTTACGCTTTTACCAGTGGTCTTACAACAAAAAAAAACATAAAAAAACCAGAAACATTACAATATTATTGTGATATAAAAAAGAGAAAGAAATAGGGGCACAAATAGAGGCGAAAATACTCCATTAGAAAGGCAAAGTTTTAGAAAGAACCCTTTGGTAAAACTTTGCTTTTGCATGCAGCACTTAATATATGCTTGACAACAATTGAAGGCTCATGAGATGCAACTTTGAGCTATTTAAGAGAACTGGTTTCTCATTGTTTAATCAACATTCTCTTCATTGGTGAAAGTCAAGATTCACCAGCACAATTCATCAGTTCTTGGCATGTGTAGAAAATAAGCTTGACAGTTTATGACAACTAGATCAACCATTTTGCATTTAATGACTTGTACGAGGAACTAATGATTAATGATGAGGGGTAAGACTATTGCACAGATAACTATTTAATACATTTTGAGCAACAAAATGTTTTGATTTAGATTTAGAGGATATATAAGTAGTTTTGAGTATTTCTGATCTGAGAAATGCACCAAAGCGACTGAGAAAAACTGTAATCAGAAATGCTGTGTGAAAATGCAATGTCATATTTCATGTGGTTCTGTTTGCATTCTCCAGGTGGCGATGTTGATCTGCGCAGGGTTTTTAATAGCTTGGATCCCTTATGCTGTGGTATCAGTGGTGTCTGCTTTTGGAGATCCTGATTCAGTGCCTATATCAATCTCTGTTGTGCCAACTTTGCTGGCCAAGTCCTCTGCCATGTACAATCCAATCATATATCAAGTCATTGACTGTAAGAAGAACTGTGCCAAACTGTCCTGCTTTCAAGCTTGGAGTAAAAGGAAACATTACAAGACTTCAAGGTATGTGCACCCTTCAAATTCTAGAGGAATAAGGGATTAATTGTCTTCTGATCGCTCTCTCTCTCTCACACACCTACAGTATATATATATATATATATATAATATATACAACTTAAGTGTGTTCAGTTTATGATATACTTGGGTACATTGTCTATAAATTACTTCTCTGCGCTATATCATCATATAATGGATCAAATGCAGTATGCAAATTTATGTCCCACTGTGGGTGGATGTTTTTGCTGCAATACTGGATCTTGCTACCTCTCTTGTTCCATTAGCATTGTGTTAAATCTCTATTTTTAAGATGTATGCGCTTTGCTCTGTTCAAGGGGTCAAGGTTTAGCTGGTTGGCATACTCAAATCTGTTAAAGTTGCCTTATATTCTTATGAAATCATTTTTATCAAGCGACGTATTGCTTGTCTTTTATTATAGTTTAGTAGAGTTGTTAGTGTGCAGCAAGAATGTGATACATTTACATTGTTATCATTCTTCGAATTTTGGACAAATTTGTGTCTCTTTTTGTTCTTTAGACATATTGGAAAGATTGTTGACATCAAACCCTGGCATGATTTAATTACGTAACAAAAAACAACTGATTGACTGAAGACTAAGATTTACTGTAATGCAGCTGTTTTTTTTCCCCAGGTTTTACTCCATCTCTGCCTCCATGAAAAAGAGACCAGCCAATGAGGTTCCGACTGAGATATGAGCAAGGACAGGAACACACAATGCACCTGTGATAGGACACTGGCCAATTTGTTATTGTGCAATTTAGACATCAACAATTCACACCCACCTACTATAACTTTGCTCTTGTATACTACTGCCGTCAGCTTCACAAACCCAAGCAAACACAACTCCTTTTAAATTGATCTTTCTGTGTATAAAATAATGAAGTATGATGTATTTATACATATATATATTTTTTGGTTATTTGTTTTATATTCCATGCGTTCACAGTACCAACACGTTTAAAACAACCTGCTTAAAGTCTAATATGACATTACTTTTTAACAAATAGTAGTATGTGTTCAGTCTGTAGTTTCTCATTTAGTGTTTGTACTGCAAGTAAACATATAAATGAAACTGGTCACACATACCCACATCTATACAGCAGCATGGTCACAGTCAGATAAACAACAATGTATACACACAAAATGAGTGCATCTTTACTGTTATTTTTGTAATGCAAATTGAATTATATTCTAATGCATTAATTGAGGCTATTGATTTTCTTTTTTTAGCATTTAGCACTTAGCATGATAGTTTTGGGCCACGTGCAATGATTATATATTAGACATCCCAAAGCCTATGATCTTGAGAATTACAATTATAATAGTCTTATAATTACTATTATTATTTATATTTATTTACTCAATTGATGTCCAATGTCATTTTAACTTGATCTATTTAATATGGTAGCCTTTTGCATGTTATCGGCCTTCAGACTAAACTATGGCAAAACTGACTAAACTGTTAAAGGCTAAAGAAGAAAGTGCACAGTTGGTAAAGATAAGTTGATGGTGTGCATACAAATTTTCCAAAATGTTTACGTTTTGTGGAAGTTGGACGAGAATTAACAGATAATGCTACAGTAAGCTGGGTTTATAAAATGTTAGACATTTCTTTTTAAATACCTGAGACTATTAGCTTACAGTATTTAAAAAAAAAAAATGCTCCTAGATGACATGAAAATACCCCGTACAATACTAGTGCTTTTTCCTTATCAGAAAGAAGCTTGTTGATACTCAAAACATAATGCTTGCACAATTAAAGCTAACTATTTTTGAATATAATAAATAGTTTACACTTAGTTTGATGGAGGTCACAATTTACTTGAATAGCAACCAGTTAGATTGTTGTAGCTGGAAGATTGGTTATACTGTACAATTAAAACATGATCGCTGTAGTATTAAAAACAAAATAAACAATCAAAAAAAAAAAAAACTTGGAAGACCAAATCAATTAGCTGAATGATGGTATAATGAAAGTGGACTTTGATTTAAAATTGCTAAAACACTAAATAAATTGCTTTTTTGTTTTCCGCAAGAAAAAAAATGGTATGAACCCCAATTGTGTGAATAGCCTTAAAGGGTCACTCCACCTCTGGAAAGATGAATGTGTATTTAAAATGGGTAATGTAGAAGAAATGTGAAATTATTTTTGTATTTGGAGCTTTCTAGACTGATAAAAGCCAGAAATTTTATTTTTGGCTTATGTGGATGAAAGACAACAACTCCCAGAATGCACTTGCTTCGCTGCCCTAGGAGGCCACGCTGACCGGTAACAGCGCAGTAGTTAAACAGCAAGTCGTCTAGGCTAGTCTAGTGAGTCTCCGAGATGAGTCTGCCCAAAAATGTGTTTCGAGAATGTCCGGGATTCGTCTATTGCATTCTACAGTTGCCGTTCATCATGTTTACTGTGGCGAGCAGGACGAGTGAGGGCCGTGTGGAGAATGAGCTGAGGCTGGCTTCTTTACAAAGCCACTGGTATGATCTGTAAACTGACACAACGGGAACTAGTTTTACATTATTGCACAGTGCCGCCGACAGTTTTGTGAATGTCATTTCATTTCTTTTTGTGCATTTCAATAGATTGGCACTGACAGTGTTTTCTGCTTTAAACTTACAATTACATCATATACAGTTTTAATGGCATTTCAATTTCATAATATTTATTTATTCAGGTGGACAGGGTAAGGCGGTTAAATCTAGTTCCTCCGGAGTCTGAAGGCTACTGTGGGAGCACAATTAGAAGTGCAACTGACTGTAGGGGGGAAAACAGTTTTGTACATTGTTCCATTACAAGATGAGTTTGACCTGTCACCTCTACCATCTGATGCCCTGGAGGTCTCTCAAATGCCTAAAGCAGAATGAAAGAAATGCTTCAAATCTATGCCACTACAGATTCTTGCTCTGCACGTAAAGAAATGCAACACTGCTGAATATGAGACGCTTTCTGACTCAGAACCAGAGGTAAGATTTTTAATAACTTCATGATTATTCTTTAAAGCTACACTTTTTTTAGTTTATTCATAGCTAAAAACACTTAGTTCTTTCAAAAATATATGTGCTCATTAATGTATATTTACTTCGTTCAAGCAATAAAATATTCTCGTGAGTGTACAATATGCTATTGAAAATACATACGGGTAAGGGGTTCTAATGTCGGTCGCCATGTTGCCCCTCCATTTTGAAAGTACATTAGCCAAAGAGGGACATACATACCCGTTAATTCAAGCTTCGCCTTTCGCGTTGCACCGTGTCGAATGTGAAGAGGGGGATTGCTTGAGACTGATACCGTATTTTCCGCACTATAGACCCTTTTACAGTTGGTAAACATGTTGATGTTTTTTGTGGGCGGAGCTTAGGAGGAGGCCGCTTCACTAACAATAGTTAGCAAGTTTTATTAGCTTGTTTTTTAACAATGACTGGAGAAAATCAGATGTAATCTTAATGTGTAAGGTCACTCACGCTCCAGGACCACGATTGTTATTTCCAAAAGTTATTTTTAACGGACAGAACCAGATTGGCCGACCTGTAGCCGCCTACACGCTCACTCGATGCATGGACGATCTGACAGGATAACGTTACGTTACGTTACCTCGGGTGAGTGGCCCGACTTCTACACCTACCTTACAGAGAAACCGATCGTAACGAGAAACTGAGGGCATACAAATCTTTAGATGCCTATAACTATGTGCTGAATGGTACAAGACGTGTGTGTATGATCCGCAGTTCTGCCGAGCCAGGGCAGAGAAGACGACAATGTAAAGAGTGTCATTATGGTGCGATTTTATTCATGTGAATATTTTCTAGAAATAAAAAATCCAGATACAGCATATTCATTTTTCATTGATACTTGCACCAAACAACACAATAAGATGACATTTAAAAATAATAAAAGTAATTTAAGATCCTTATTATGTAGCCGAATCTGTGCTGGTTTGCATTGGCCGCCTCCAGTTTTCACTTTGTTTTGCCTCCAGCTAGCGCCGTGACGTACCTGTGACGTTGGCGCAAAAGGGGTCCATAAGACGCACTTAAAAGCCTTTAATTTTCTCCAAAAACGCCAGTGCGCCTTATAGTCCGGAGCGCCTTATTTATGGATCAATTAGTTAACAACGCTCCGCGTTATTAAATTCGCCCGCGAACTCGCGCTCGTGTCCATATTATGCCCGCTTTGTCACACGGCAAGTTCAACCTTATCCTCCCTCAGGTTATGTGTGTCTCCCGCTCACGAGCGCTCACTCTTAACAGACACACGAACAGACAAACTGTCCCCGGCGCTGCTCGCGCGTCACAGAATGTTCATAAAGCGCTCCCCGTTCACCGGGTCGTCTCATTCAAAACAGCCAGCTGTTGCTGTCAGCGAGCCGCCGGGACATTTAATACTCATATGAGTCAGGCTGCGAATGTAAGTTACGTGCCCGTCCCAGCGAGCTCACGCTTACTAAACAAACGCCTCACCTCCGGCGCCGCACACTCGCTACATTCCCTTTAGCACATTTATGCATAATGCATAACGCAAACCCAGTCAGACGTTTGACAACAGTATCTTATCTTAAAATAGGTCATTCATTGAAGGTGCGCCTTATAATCCATCCAGGACAGTCAAGCCAAGGGTTTGACTGCCTTAAGTGCACTTTCAAGGGTAGCCTATAAGGTTGGAAAAACACGGGTTACAGGTTGCCTGGAACGCAGCATTAGCTGTTTCTAAGCGAGACTTTAACCTTCACTTTCACATCTGTCCTGTAATCTTATTCATTTAAGACGTGTTATTGTATGATCTAAATATTTTTCACACTATGACACCTTACTATGACTAGCCTACACTTCAGTATGAAAATGATATAGCCTACAATGTAAACTTTTCCTTATGCTAGTGATGTCGTACGACATACAGAATAACGATAGCACTGATAAAAGTTACTTTACTAACTTGGATTTGTCTGGGCACCTGATAAATGATGTTAGCAATGAAATGGTAAAAAAAATAAAAACATAAAGCTATTATTCAATTTACATAGATGTCATGTTACCTGACAAATTAAATTACTGAAATTAATAGTATTCTAAAATAACCTCATCACTTGAAGGAACACTCATAGACGTGGAGATGAGGTCGATATGGAAGCCATGTTAATCTTGGACTACATTGGCCACCATAGGAGTTAAACCGAAATTGGAATTGAGAGGAACAGAAACTAATATTCACTGGATGGTCATATACATTTTACCTGCTAGATGGCGCTTAAAATCACACGGTGTAGCTTTAAGATTAATGTGTGATGTTAAATGTATGTAAAATGGTTTGTCTATTTCTAGCTGACTGATCTACCTCCTGATTCACCTGAATTACCTCCTGTTGCTGAAGAAAAGGTAAAACCTTTGAAAAACCTTGTTGCTTAGACTGACATTATTCTGATTTCTTTTTTGCACTCAGGTCTAAATCCCATGGCCCTCTATCAGAATCCAGAGTTTCAAGAAGATCAGAGAAACTCAAAATTTCGACCCGAAAAAAACTAACAGTGGTACCCCTGTCGAAATTTTGAGTTTCTCTGATCTTCTTGAAACTCTGGATTCTGATAGAGGGTCATGGGACTTGCACCTGAGTGCAAAAATGGAGGCTCTAGACCCTTCCAGAGCTGAGATATTGAGATACTACGTAGCATTCATGCCATTATAAATATCTCAATATCTCCGCTCTGGAAGGGTCTAGAGCCTCCATTTTTGCAATCAGGTCTAAGTCCCATGACCCTCTATCAGAATCCAGAGTTTCAAGAAGATTGGAGAAACTCATTTTTTTCGCCAAAAAAAACAGGGGTAACAGTCGTTTTTTTTTGGGGGGGTCGAAATTTTGAGTTTCTCTGATCTTCTTAAAACTCTGGATTTTGATAGACGGCCATGGCCCTTAGACCTGAGTGCAAAAATGGAGGCTCTAATTTTTCGCAAAAAAAAATATTGGAGACACCACTGTAGTTTTTTATGCCATTATAAATATCTCAATATCTCAGCTATGGAAGGGTCTAGACTAGAGCCTCCATTTTTGCACCCAAGTCTCATAGCCCTCTATCAGAATCTAGAGTTTTGAGAAGATTGGAGAAACTTAATTTTTCGCCCAAAAAAAAAACCCAAAGGGGTACATAACACTGTCGTTTTTTTTTTTCGGGTTGAATTTTTGAGTTTCGATATCTCAGCTCTGGAAGGGTCTAGACTCTAGAGCCTCCATTTTTGCACTCAGGTCTAAGTCCCATAGCCCTTTATCAGAATCCAGAGTTTTGAGAAGATTGGAGAAACTTAATTTTTCGCCCCAAAAAAAAACGTAAGGAGTACCACTGTCGGTTTTTTTTTTCGGGTCGAAATTTTGAGTTTCGATATCTCAGCTCTGGAAGGGGCTAGAGCCTCCATTTTTGCACTCAGGTCTAAGTCTCATGGCCCTTATCATAATCCAGAGTTTTGAGAATATTGGAGAAACTTAATTTTTCGCCCAAAAAAAAAAAAAAAAACGTAAGGGGGTACCACTGTCGTTTTTTTTTTCGCGTTGAATTTTTGAGTTTCGATATCTCAGCTCTGGAAGGGGCTAGAGCCTCCATTTTTGCACTCAGGTCTAAGTCTCATGGCCCTCTATCAGAATCTAGATTTTGAGAAGATTGGAGAAACTTAATTTTTCGCCCAAAAAAAAAACCGTAAGGGGTACCACTGTCGTTTTTTTTTTTCGGGCCGAATTTTTGAGTTTCGATATCTCAGCTCTGGAAGGGGCTAGAGCCTCCATTTTTGCACTCAGGTCTAAGTCTCATGGCCCTCTATCAAAATCCAGAGTTTGAGAAGATTGGAGAAACTTAATTTTTCGCCCAAAAA